GCATCCTTTATTTTAAATTGTATATTTCAAATATTTTTGGAGTTTGTATCATAATGGGACTGGCCAGATAGAACACTTAGCAGTGGTGGGTGAGGGCATTACCCACAGCCTTGCACTTGCTAGGTAAGTGACCTTCTGCCAACTCCATCTCCTTTCTAAAATTTTTCTTTTCGAGATGGTCTCACTAAATTGCCTAGTCACCCCATGAAATTTCGATATAATTACAAAAAAAAATGCATGGCATAAGTGGAGAAACTTTATTGAAGATATGAAGGGGAGAGGGAGTAAGAGGAAGCAGGAGCCAAGAGGAACACAGACCCAGATGAAGCAGGGGTGGAGCCAGCAGGGCCTGGAGGACAGAGGCCAAGAGGCCTGAGAGCCAAATTGTGTGAGGTTGGTGGGGGGGAGCTCTGGGGCTGGAGAGGTTCAGGATAGGGGCAGGGGTAAGAAATGCTGAGGAACAGGTCTTGGTGATACTGAGAGAGACTGGCTGCCAGCCTCAGTTTTGACTTGTTAAATAGGCCCTTTTGCCAGAGATAAGGAGAACGACTCCTTTTAGCAAGTAGGGACTATCTTAAATCCTGGGGGGTGGGGGGAATGCTGGCTTTTGTCTAAATGCCAGACGTGGGGAAAAGGAATTTCTTGGGGTCTAACACAGTCCTCCCGCCTCAGTAGTCTCCATTGTAGCCAGGTCCAGGTAGCATGTCAGTTTGCTTCAAGGATTTACCCTTTCGGCTTCCTGTCTTCTTTTCCCACCAATATGTGCTTTGGTCTCTCAAGCATATATTTCTTTACCCACCGTTTGGACATACAGAGGCCCAGGAACTTTAAATATTTAAAACCCAAACTAGGAGTAAAGGATAGGGTCTTCAGAATATCTACCACAAACAATAGATTGGCCAAAAGATACTAGGAGCCTCCCTAGTCTCTGGACCATCAAACTTGGAGATTGCTGGGGAGCGCCAAGATGCTGATGAGAGAATGGGAGCTGTTTCTCCTGGGCCCTGGGGGAAGTCCTGTGATTTTCTTTTCAGCTACTTTGAGAATGAAGTTAAGTCAGTCAGTAGTCTCTTAGGTAGGCCCATGGTTGAAGAGCCCAGTGGACTTTGCCTTGTTCCTGCAATCGGGGTCAGAGCCAAAGCTGGACATTAACCAGTCCTAGTGAAAAGCAAATAAGTGGAAAAGAACAAACAGACACAGTGGCCTCTCCCCCAAGTTTGTCTTCAGGGTCCTAACATGAGATTTAGCTTTAAGTAGAAGGCAGAGGTGTGTACAACTATGTCAGCTCCAATATCTCCTTCAAGGTATCCTGACAAATCATTTTTTCCCCTTGACATGTTTTTTTTTTCTCTTGCTGTTGCCAAGGCCTCAGCCAACTCTTCTACCAAGAGATTTCAGACAATTTCCAGTTTCTCAAGATAGTCATGGTGGGTCACACCTTTAATCCCAGCATTCAGGGCAAAGGTAAGGAGACCTCTGAGTTCAAGGCCAGCCTGGTCTATTGAGCAAGTTCCAGGATAGCCAGGGCTACACAGTGAAACCCTGTCTCAAAAAAAAAAAAAAAAAAAAAGTCTTTCTATGTGTAGGTGTTGGAATGGATGACTGGAGAGATGGCTCATCAGTTAAGAATACTTGTCATCAGAGTACTGGAGTTGAGTTTTCAATACCCATTTCAGTCCCCTGTCAACAATCTGTATATAATTCTAGCAAGGGAGATCCAACACCCTCTTCTGGCTTCCATGGGAACCAGCAAGTGAATGTGCATTCCCCTGAACAGATCTGATTACGTAAATATAAATTTAAAAACTTTTTTAAAATCCCCAAAACTTCTGCTAAGAGTTTTACCACTGCCTCCAGGAAGGGGAGGAACATGTCACATGGTGTGTATGTGTGGTCAAAGAACAGCTTTACTTAATGAACCATTTCCAGCCCAACCAGCAACTCCCTCCAAAGGACAGGGAATATTATTAACTCTCTATGCCACTTGAGTTATGGCCAAGAGCTTTTACTGACTTCCATATGAAAATGAAAGTACCTGAAGTGAAGTCTTCAATTTTTCTTTTTTCCCCCCTTGGTTTGGTTTTTGTTTTCCAAGACAAGGTTTCTTTGTAAAACAGCCTTAGCAGTCCCGGAACTCACTTTGTAGACCAGGCTGGCCTCAAACTCACTGAGAGTGCTAGGCTTAAAGGCATAGGCCACCACCTACCTCCCAGCTAATTTTTTGTTTGTTTGTTTATTTTGGAGACAGGTTTTGGAGCCTGTCCTGGAACTCACTCTGTAGATCAGACTGGCCTCACACTCAGAGATCTGCCTGCCTCTGTCTCCCTGGTGCTGGGACTAAAGGCATGTACCACCACCGCCCAGCTCCCAGCTAATTTTTGAAATTTAATATTTAAGCCAGGTATCGGGGCGGGGTGGCCCAGGCCTTTCTTTAATCCCAGCACTCGTAAGGCCGATCTCTTTGAGTGTGAGGCCAGTCTGGTCTATACAAGCTAGTTCCAAAGCTACAGAGAAATGCTATCTTGAAAAACCAAATGTTTGAGGCCAGCCTGGTCTACAAAGCAAGTTCCAGGATAGCAAAGGCTACACAGAGAAACTCTGTGTCAAAACAAAAGGCAAAAGACTTGTTTTTAGAGAGTGCATGTGTTTTGTGTGAATGTATGTCATATATGTTCAAAAGAGGGCATAGGGTCTCCTGGCAGACCCTGGATCTCCTAGAGTTGCTGGCAATGGTTAACCTCTGTTGTGGATTCTAGGAACCAAATTCAGGGCCTCTGGAAGAGTAAGTAACAAGCATTCCTAAACTGATCTTTCTCAGCCCCTCTGGGTAATGTTTAACTAAGCACGTTTAAACAACTTGAGTACTCGGAGGTGTTTGTGGTTTGTGTGTGTGTGTGTGTGTGTGTGTGTGTGTGTTTTATTTTGTTAGGTGTAGGTTAAAGGCAGTATTTAACTCTGTAGCCCAAACAGGAATTCCTCCTACCCCAGCCTCTGAGTACAGGGATAACCCACCACTATTCCAACAGCATTTGAAAACTTGAACCATTTTCCTATTGGAGACCTTTCCTTGTCTGCCAATTCCCGAACTCTTTGGCTATCCCAGTACTTTCAAACATTTATTTTACCATATAAATTCACAAGGACAAGAATTTGGCCTATTTTTTAAAAAATAGACAAATATTTATTGACACTATATACTACATTTTTATTAATTTGGGGAGTGAATTTTTTTTTTAAAGTAAATATGGATTTCAAATCTGGTGAAACATTTCTCAGTTTGTTCAGGACAGACTTTTAAGTTCATTAGTAAGATTGGATCAAGTTTAGTAGTGGTGCATTCTTGTCATCTTGACATTCAGGAAGCTGAGGCAGGAGAATTGCTCTCAGGTCAGCCTGTACTACATACTGTGTTCAGGGATGGCCTGGGTTACATATGGACCCCTTATCTCAAACACACAAATAAAATTAGCTAGGCACAGTGGCAGGCACATTTAATTCCAGCACTCTGGGAGCCAAGGCATTTGAGGCCAAATTAGTCTACATCATGAATTCCAGGCCAGTCAGGGCTTCAAAGCAAGACAAAAATCTCAAAAACAAACAGAAAAACCACCTGGCATTTATTGTGCACACCTGTCAGACCAGCACTAGGGAGGCAGGGTAAGAAAATCAGGAGTTAGACAATCAGGAATCCAGGTCATCTGCAGTGCAGGTACATATGAGATCTTGTGTCAAAAACAAATATACAAACAAACAAAAATAAAACCCTTAAAAAAAAAAAAAAAAAGCCGGGATGACAATACACACTTTCAATCCCAGCACTAGGAAAACAAAGGCAGGTGATTTCTGTGAATTTTAGGACAGTCTGGTCTACATAGCATCTTCCAGGCCAGCTACGGCCAGTGTGGCTTGATTTGGGGGAGAAACAAAAAAGCAAAACAAAACTGGGAATTAGTGGAGCAATACAGTACAGACCTGTAATACCAGCATCTGGGAAATGGAGATGAGGATCAGCAGTTCAAGATCATCTCACTCAAAGCAATACAAGACCCTGTTTCAAATAAGAGAATTTTTACAGACCCTACACCTACACCATTTTCTTTTTGGCATTTTATACTGTTTTTATTTTCCTTTTTTTTTTTTTTTCAAGACAGGATCCTGGCTGGCATGGAATTCTCTATGTCTACCAGGCTAGCCTTGAACTACAGAAATCTGCTTGTCTCTGCCTCCCAGGTGCTGGGATCAAAGACATGCACCATCGCCAGTCAGTATTTTGTTGTCTTAAAGCACTGTACAGATGGGATTTATTTCTTCCCACAATGCCTGGCTGGCTTTGAACTCTACAAAGCTGAAGATGATTTTGTCCTCCTGTGTCTACTTTTTGAGGGCTGGGTTTACAGTTATAGTTCAGTTCTGAGCACCTGCCTGGTGACCTTCTGTAACTCCACTTCCAGGGACGTGAATTCCTTGTTCTGGCCCCCTCAGGCTGGAGCATGCAAGTGATGTGCTGGCATACACGAAGGCAAAGACTCCTACACATAAAATTAAAATAATAAAAATGAAATTAGAAGGAATCTTTGAAAGATAGTGTGGTACATAGTTTGTAGCATTTTAAATATCTTGGTACTATAGAGTGCATCCTCTACTTACAGAACTGTCAGTCATCATCCAGCAAGACTAAAGTGACACCATGTAGGCTTTTGTAAAGCACAAACCTAGAAATGAAGATATATATTTTTTTAATTTTATGTTTTTGGTTTTTCAAGACAGGGTTTCTCTGTGTGTAGCTCTGGCTGTGGAAGTCCCTCTATAGACCACGCTGGCCTTGAACTCACAGAGATTCACATGCCTGTGCCTCCTGAGTGCTGGTATTAAAGGCTTATACCACCACCATCTGGTCCTACCTGATAGAGCTTAAAACCTCTTCCAACACTATGATACTGTAACACTAATCTCTAACGGAAATGTTCACTGATGCCCAGATATTACTTCACAGTGTAGGCATGGTAGACTATGCCTGCCAGCACGTGGTAGACAGAGACAGAGAATTAAGCATTCAAGGCCAGTCTTAGCTACTTAGTGAGTTCTAGGTTGACCTGGGCTTCATGAGACCCTGCCTCAAATAAATAAACAAATGACCTAAACTTAAGATAGCTGTCAGGGTTAGAGTCATTTTTAACTGCTACCAACTCCTGTTTAATTGCAGGTCATCTTTAGATGGTGGAAAATTTCTCTGAGAAGCGAGTATCGGACAGCAAAACCTGGAGAGATAAAGGAAACCCATGAAGATTTTCTAGAGAACTCTCATCTTCAAGGTGAGGGAGGCAGTCACATCCCAGCACATGTGGCAGAGGATGATCACTGACTTCATACTTGTGTAATTATGTTCTTAGAAATAATGGGCCAGGACAGGCGTTGGTGGCACATGCCTTTAATCCCAGCACTAGGGAGGCAGAGACAGGCAGATTTATGTGAGTTTGAGGCTAGCCTGCTCTACAGCCAGGACAGCCAGAGCTACACAGAGAAACCCTGTCTTGAGAGAAGAAAAAAAAAAAAAAAAAAAAAGCTAAAAGAAAGAATAGTATGTGGGATTTGAGTTTTACTTTTGAGGATTGAATAGATGGTTTAGTAGTTAAGAGTGTGTACTGCTCTTGCAGAGGACTTGAGTTTAGTTGCCAGCACCCATGGGAGGAGGGGCTTGCAATTACCTTAATTCTAGCTCCATGGAAGCTAGTGACCTCTTCTGGTGGCTGTGAGCAACCGCACATACACACACAAATTAAAAATAAATAAATCTTTGTTTTTTTTCTAGACAGGGTTTCTCTGTGTAGCCCTGGCTGGCCTTGAACTCACAGAGATCCTACTGCTTCTGCCTCCCAAGTGCTGGGATGAAAGGCATGAACCACCACTGCCCAGCTAAAATAAATCTTTTAAAATCTCTTTAGAGTCTTCAGTGGTGATGTCGAATGCTTTTAGTCCCAGCACTCAGGTGGCGGTGGCAGAGACTGGATCTCTGTTGAGTTAGAGGCCAGCCTGGTCTACAGAGCTAGTTTTAGGACAGGCTTCAAAGCCACAGAGAAACCCTGTCTTGAAAAACAAACAAACGAACAAACAAGCAAAATCTCTTTAGAAAAAAAAAATTTGAGATAGGGTCTCATGCATCGTAGTGTTGTGTCACTTTCTGGGGAGGTGTGAACAAATGTCTGTTTGCCCCAGACAGGATGACAATAGCTGGCCAAAGATGTGATTTCCCCCAAGTACAGTGAATATACTGGGGCTAGTCACGGGCATATGGTGACTCAGAGACAGCCAGATCACTGAAAAGTCCAGCCCTGAGTGGCTGATGACTCACAAGGCTGTGTCCCTGTATACCTTGCAGGCAGCTCAGTTGTCACTGTTGCTCATCTTGACCCTCCCATCTTGGAGGTCCACGCAGAAGGACACTCTCCCTCAGCGGGAGAGAGAGAGGGATGCTCATGGCTACATATAGCAGGTCTCAGAGGTCATTCAGCCAGCTGGAGCCTCAGTACTGCCACTAGCCAGCTGGTGTGACCCACAGGACAGCTCATCCCCTTTGTGAGTCAGTTTCTGTGTGCTGGGATAGGGATAATCATGGCTACTTTATTCAGTCATCTTGAGACTCTCTTGATTATAGAATCAGCCCTTAATTATTGTTTGCTGTATTGTTAAGCAGGCGGCGTTGAACTGAACTTATTTTTCTGTCTCTTCTTGGTCTTCTCCTGAAGGTCCTCTACAAGATTTTCTTCTGCAGAGGTCCTGGCAGAGGATCCCAGCATGTCACTCTTGCTGCCTGGACCTCTCAGCAAGGAAGTGGCATTTTCTGTCATTTGACTTAATGCTACAGTCTTGGCTCTGTTCCCTCATTGGTTCCTTAGTCTTCAAATCATTATGATGGAACTGGTAATTCAAACCTGTGCCTTCCTCCTGTCTGTTTATAATTATGCCTTGGGGGATCTGATTCAATCTCTAGCTTGCTGTGCCATCCGTAAGGGCTGGAGAGACAACTCAGTGATGAGGATCATATCCTGCCCTTGCAGAGGACCCAAGTTCAGTTCCCAGCACTTATGTCAGATAGTTCACAACTTCCTGTAACTGTGATTACAAGTGATCCAGTCCCTGCTTTTGGCTCCCTTGGCAGGCACACATGTACACACACACACACACACACACACACACACACACACACACACCCACTCCTACCTCTTTCTGGGTTGACTCATCTGGTCTTGGCGGGATGCTATATACTGGCTTTATTGTAGCATTTTATGCCTTGTTTGGTTTGGTTGATGTTCCTGGGACGCTTGCTCTTTTCTGAGGGGAGATTGAGAGGGCATGGATATGAGGGAGGAGACTGGGGGAAAGGAAGGGAGGGGAAACTGTGGTTAGGATATAAAATATGAGAGAATAATAGCAGTAAACAGATAAAAATAAGAAACAAATATTGTAAATGCTCCTCACAGGAGGTAAGTGTAAGTCCTAAGTTAGTGTCTCTCCTCTGACCTTCTCTAAATAACATGATCAGTTTACGTGAATATCTGCTAGACCACTAGTGTGTCAAATATAGTTTCCATAGTGGGTTCACTGGGCAAAGGTGCCTGCTGCCAATCTTGTTTTTTTTTTTTTCCAGACAGGGTTTTTCTGTGAAACAGCCCTGTCTGTCCTGGAACTCACTCTGTAGACTAGGCTGGCCTCGAACTCACAGAGCTCCATCTGACTCTGCCTCTTGAATGCTGGGCTTCAAGGTATGCTCTCCCCTGAACCCCCAAGCCAGGAGCTTTCTTAAAAGCAGATCTTCCAGATCTTTCAAGACCTTAGATGACACCGTGACACACAATGTCAACCTCAAGAGACCTGTTTCAAAAATAAACAAACACAAAAGAGATATTTTTCTGTGATATCTCCACTGGCTTGTCCATCATTTAGTCTGTGCAGACACTGCCTCATTAGCTAGGGCTTCCTTGAACCACTAGACAGAAAATGACAGCCTTTCTCCGGAACACCATGTCTTTCACAAACTCATTGTCAAGTGAGACACTGCATTTGTTCAGCTGTTTGTTTCTTGTCTCCTTTATTGTGGCGGGAACTCTGCTTGTTGATGGGTCTTTTGGTACACAGCTGGTACACAGCTCTGTGAATAAATTATCCTATGAATTATTTAACAAAATTCTTTTTTTCTTTTTTCTTTTTACATGGGAAGGAAGTTTATTGGAAAAGGAAGGGAGAGAAGGGAGAGAAAAGGAGAGAAAGAAAGAGACAGAGAAGCCAGGCATTGGTGGCGCACACCTTTAGTCCTACCACTCAAGAGGCAGAGGCAGGCACATCTGGGTGAGTTCCAGGACAGGCTCCAAAGCTACACAGAGAAACCCTGTCTCAAAAAAACAGAAAACAAAAAAGCAAAACAAACAAACAAACAAAAATCAAAAAGAAAAGAGACAGACGGATAAACTGCAGAAATAGTGAAAATTCTTTTCCTTTCTTTTTTCTTGTATTGGCAGGGTATCTCTTTCTAGCCTTGCTGTCCTGAAACTTGCTGTGTAGATCAGGTTGGTCTTGAACTCAGAGATCTAGCTGCCTCTGGCTCCTAAGTGCTTGAACTAAAGGTGTTCAAGGTCATTCCTGGCTTTATTTGTTTTTAGAACTCATTGTTTGATTTTTAATTTTGTGTGTGTGTGTGTGTATGGGTTTGTGTAAGTACGAGTTCAAGCTTCACCTATTCAAGTCCAGAATAGGCCTTCTGATCCCCTGACGGTAATAAAAGGTTGACTGCAGTCTTTTGGAATATATCAACTTAAGAGACCACTGGCTTCCACCAACCAACTAGAAATGTCCTCAGATAGCTTTTGAGGTGTGTAGCAGAATTGCTTCACCCCTCTACCACCCCACCTTGCTGCCACCCACTTGCTTGATGTTCCCACCAGTGTATTTTAAGAACATCTTGATTAATGGCCGGTGGTGGCACATGCCTTTAATCCTAGCACCCTGGGGGGCAGAGGCCAGCCTGGCCCACAGAGTGAGTTCCAGGACGGGCTCCAAAGCTAAATAGAGAAACTCTGGAAAAAAACAAAAACAAAAACAAACAAACAAAAACAAAAAACACCTTGATCTATGACTCCCTATGTCCTGTTACTCTAAAAGCTTAATGAAAATGTTATGTTAGAACACAAAATTTGGAGTGACCCTAATCTGTCTTCTCTCAACCTGTTCACTCCTGTTTGCTCCAGAAGAAACTCTGACCTTTGAGGTTGGAGTTGTGGTTTTGCAATAAGAGGTGTTCCTGAAGGGGACCTCAGTGGCTCTGTCCCTGCATCCTGAGAAGAACTGTGCAAGACTTGTATAACTGGAGAATCTGGGTTCCCCTTGGTGGACTTAGTCTTGGTGATAAAAAAATTTTTTTAAACTGGACTCTGAAGGAAACTCAAGGACCATTTTATTAGGGTTTGAGAGAAAAATTACAGGGCAGAAAAGCTGTAAATCCTGGAAGTGGCCAGGAGGGGAGAGGGGGAAACCAGAGTTTGAATTAGGTTTCAATGGGGTGGGGGGGGGGGAGAGGAGATGACTCAGCTGTTAAAAGCACTGGCTACTCTTCCAAAGAACCTGGCTTTGATCACCAGCACTCAAGAGACTGTTTATAACCTGCTGTAACTCCAGTTACAGGGGACCTGATGTATGGGCACTGCATGCATGTGGTGCAGAGACATAAAAGTTAAAAAAGAAAGACAGCGGGTGTGGTGCGCATACCTTTAATCCAAGGAGGCAGAGGCAGGCAGATCTTTGTAGCATGGACTACAAATTGAGTTCCCAGAGAAATCCTGTCTCCGAAAGCAAAGGGAGGAAGGGAGGGAAGGAGGGAGGGAGGGAAGGAGGGAGGGAGGGAGGAAGGAGAAAAAGGCAGGCAGATATGCAGGCAGCTCTAGAACTGAAGGCGAGAACCAGAGTGTCAGGGTGAAATGCTTAGTGTCCAAAGAGCCAGCAAGGAGAAGGAAAAGGAGAAAAAGTGTGTGTCTGGGTTAGAACTCAGACACATGGGGAGGGTTAGCGATGACTTGTAAGGTAGTAGCTGCTGTGGAGGAAGGGCTCCTGGGGATATATTGTCTCACTAATGGACAGTGGTTTCAGCTTTGGGGTGGGGGTTCGATTCTTCTGTTCTTCTGGGCTGGTAAATGACAGCTCAATTGGAATAACTGGTTTTTTTTTTTTTTTTTTTCCGAGACAGGGTTTCTCAGTGGCTTTGGAGCTCTGTAGAGCAGGCTGACCTTGAACTCACAGAGATCTGCCCGCCTCTGCCTCCTGGATTAAATGCGGGTACCTCCACCACCACCACCACCACCTGGCATTGGATTAACTCTTAAGAGAGGGGACAATAGTATGTAATGTTCTAATCACTGGGACAGAACAGATTAGGACTCAGATTCTACTATTGTAACCAAGAGGAAATGATTTTTCCCTTAGTGGGCCTCGACAAATTCCTGAGATACCTCATGGTAAATGTTAGGTGGGGTTCAAAATGGTCATGAGGGAGGGGTCTAGCCTCTGGCCTCCATTCCTGCTGATGCTTGTTTAAATATCTAGTTTTGGGCATGTGGCTGCCAGAGTCCAGGCTTTGACTCTAAAACCTCCAGTTCCATAAAGGGAAATTCTTCAGGCTATTACTAGTGGTCCATATCTGAACAGATGCTTCAGATGAGCTTTTGACCTTTAAAACAATATTTATTCGTGTTTGTGTATGTGCTTGATGTGTGTGTACTCATGCCAGTATGCACATGTGGAGGTAAGAGCTGGCCCTCACCTGTGGTGTAGGTCCTGAGGCTAGAACTCAGGTTGTCAGCCCTGGTGTTGAGTACGTCTACCCACTGAGCCATCCCACATACCCATCTTGTTCCCTTATCCAAAGGGTTGAGATAAGGGTTCACACAGGTCTGCAAACGTAGTAAAAGTTGATTTAAAGGCAAAGTAAATGGCTAAGAGATGGTACAGAAAGTACAGGTACTTCCTGCTCAGCTAGAGCACTGAGTTTGCTACCCAGCACCTGTGGCTTACATCCACCTTTAACTTTAGGTCCATGGGATCCTACACCCTATTCTGGCTTCTGCAGACATCCCATACAAGGCACACACACACACACCCCAAAACAATAGTAAAGATCAGAAACACAGGGCTGAAGAAATGGTACAGCACCTACAAGGTGGCCCACAGCCATCCTTAATTCCAGTTTCAAGGGTCCAGCTGCCTTTTTGACTCTGTGGGCACCAGACAAGCATGTGACATGCATGTATATGTACATGTAAACACTTCTACACATAGAATTAAAAAAAAAGATTGGAAACCCACTATCAAGATTGAGGCACTCAAGGGCCCCGATTATTGTTTGGGTCTCCTCTTATGTGGTTCAAAAGAGGGAAGAGTTTGCTTAATAGTGGGTGGTTCTCTGTTTTTTTTTTTATTTTTTTTTATTTATTTTTTATTTTTTTTATGCATATAGAGTATTTTTTATTTAATTTTATATAACAAAGTCCAATTAAATGAAAACAAACATTTATACACAATATTTGGGAATTTGGGCGTCGTTCCTTCCAAACTACTTCCTGCTGGTAAGGGGCGCTGTCTTGGGGGATTCGAAGAAGATTCAGATATCCTAGCTGTAGTCTGTAGGGCTGTTTTGTCCAGCTGTTTGGAATGTAGGATCAGCTTGTACTCTGTTTCAGGCGGTCTGGTGTGATCAAACCACATTAGTCTGGAAGGAATCCACATCTTTTCATTTTCTGTGGAAACAAAAATAGAAATACTTTTCCCCAGTAACTTGTTCTTCAACTTAAATTTTGGAGTCAAAGCGTTTTTTTTTTTTTTTTTTTTTTTTTTTTGGTTCTCTGTTTTGACAGATTAGGTTATGTAATTACTTATTTGCTGAGAAAGTTCCTTCCCATAATGCCTCTGACTTGAAATATATTCATTTTATAATTTTAATTTTACATAGACACAAGATGGTAAATAGTAGATTGTCTGAACTAAGGACACAATTTTGCCTTATGGGTCAGGCACCCAGAACCAGCTCTTGCTGGATTGATCTTTCTATCCTGGGACCAGAGTGTATTGGACATACTGTGAAGCACAGACTGTCCAAGTATGCTGATTGACAAAGAAGACTATTCATTGTTTGGAGAGGAGGACATGCAGCCAGATGTAGGCAGGGCCTGAGGATGCCAGGTGCATTGTTTGGAGAGGGCTGAGTGCTTTTAGTATGTGCAAGTGAAGGAGTGTGTTATTGGAGTAGAAGAGGGTAGCATGGTGACACACACCTTTAATTCCAGCACTTGGAAGACCAAGGCAGGCAAATTTCTGTGAGTTTGAGGCTAGCCTGTCTGATCTACATAGTGAGTTCTAGGCCAGGGCTCTGTAGTGAGATCCCATCACAAAAGAAATAGAAAACAAAACAAAACACATTTCCATTCTTTGATTATTCAGAGAGCTGAGGAGTGAGAGGGATCTTGTTTTCTGTTTTAAAATTTTTATTACACTCTGTGTGTGTGCGTGTGTGTGTGTGTGTGTGTGCGCGTGCGCGCGCGCGCAGCATACATCACATTAACTGCACAAGTCTGGAGGTCAGAGGACAATTAGTGGGAATTGGCCTCCTCTTTTCATTATGTGGGTCCCGGGGACTGAACTCAGCAATTGCCTCATCTGCTTTGCTCTCTTGCCAGTGTCGGGTCTGAAGCCCTCTTTCCCCCAGCTACTCTTTTAATCCAAATGAATTGTCCACTGCTCTTGCTCTTTTCTGCCTCCGGCGCTTCCCCATCTCTCACACCATCTCCAGCCCTCTCCATTGCTTTCTCTGGCTTTCCTAGCCCCGGCTGTGTCCAGTCTGCTCTTCTCTCAGCTCTGGACTCTTCCAGAGACCTCTGGATCTTTTCTTTCTTAACCACCTTCCCCCTAATGGGGGCAGTTTCTTTACTGTGCCCCCTCAAACACAACTAGCCCAACTTTTTTTTTTTTTTTTTTTTTTTTTTTTGCCTCTGCATCAAATTTATGTTTATGTCAGGCATCCCATTAGTCTATTGTTTGGGAGCTACAGTCTCCTTTTTGAGTAACTAACATGTCTAAAAATACTTGGCAGAGCTGGGCATGGTGGCTCATGCTTTTAATCCCAGCGCTAGAGAGGCAGTAACAAATAGATCTCAGTGAATTCAGGCTGGCCTGATCTGCCTAGGTAGTTCCACGTCAGCCAAGGCTGCATAAAGAAGTCCTGTCTCAACCCCAACCGCCATTTAAAAAAGAAAATAAATATACAAAGCAAAACTATCATGGTTTCCGTGAAATATGTTAATGCTGTTTATCTTCACCTTATATTTGCTAAATTATGTAAAGATGGTGATGAAAGAAGATGTAGAGGAAGGAATTTTAATAGAAAAAGTAAAACAGCCTGAGTCAAAAGAACTCAGCATACTGTGGTTCAGATCATTTGGGCGGGAGGGAAGGGTACAAGACCTTGCTGTCCATCACAGAGTCAAACCCGGGAACTGAATCTTTCAAGTGCCTCATTCAGAAAGCCCTCAGGCTAGAGAGCCCCAGAGGAATCAGCCTCCTCAGTCCTTTCCTCATTAGCATTTTTATAGAGAAGAACCAAGAAATCAATTCAAGGTCCAGGCTTATCCTTCTGACCAGGTGGCTTTTGTCTCTGAGGTCCCCTCCCCCCCTTAACTCTCCACTCTCGGAATAACTGGGGAGGTTGTGGATTCCAAAGCCAGAGTCTTGCATTCCCCCTTTAAAATTATTCTTTATTTAAGACTTTATTTATTTATTTTTGAACACAGGGTCTTTCTATGTAGCCTTGGCTGATCTGGAACTTGCTATGTGGACCAGGCTGGCCTGAGACTCATACAGATCCACCCGCCTCTGCCTCCCACTGGGTTTAAAGGCTTGTGCCACTACAAGGAGGTAAATATCTTTATTATTTTTATTTATGAGTATGCTCCATTGTCTGTCTGTGTGAGCTAAGGCTCCATGTGTGGGGGTGACAGAGGAGGCCAGAAGGGGGCTTTGGGTCCCTTGGAGTGTGAGTTGGATCCCTATAACTAGCTGATAGCAGTACTGAGAACTGAACTCAGGTTCCCTGAAAGACCAGCAAATTGTCTATTTTTTGTTTTGGTTTTTCAAGACAGAGTTTCTCTGTGGCTTTGGAGTCTGTCCTGGAACTAGCTCTGTAGACCAGTCTGGCCTCAAATTCACAGAGATCTGCCTGCTTCTGCCTCCTGAGTGCTGAGATCAAAGGCATTTGCCACCACTACCCAGCTCCAGCAAATTGTCTTAACTGCTGAACTATTCCTCCAGCCTTCATTCCTTCTCTAAATATATTGTTACAAGTGTGTGGAAGACCAGCTAGCATTCTTAACCTCTGAACCATCTTTCTAGTCTATTCTCACATACTTGTATTCATGACAGACTTACCATTTTGCCACAACAGAGAGCCAACCCCATCAACAGGACAACAAATTCCTCCAAATATCCACTCCCTTAGTGCCACAAACTGCTTGGTAAGAGTAGGAAAGACTGGTTTTCTCTGTGTAGCTCTGGCTGTCCTGGAACTCTCTGTAGACCAGGCTGGCCTCTGCCTCCTGAGTGCTGAATTAGAGGTGTGTGCTACCACCACCTGGCTTCCAAAACTTCTTTTGTATTGTTGATGGTTTTCATGTGACTGAACAAGGTAACCATTGGTTTGTGGTTTGGCTTGCAGTACAAATCGCCTTAGTATTTGGTGCAAGAATATTAGACTATGTCTTCAACCTGTGCGAAGGTAAATTTGACTACCTGGAGCGGCTCTCAGACAAACTGCTGCTGAAGATCATCCACTACCTGGACCTCGAAGATATTGCCAGGCTCTCTCAGACATCAAGCAGGTTTGCAAAGGTAACAGTCCCTGCTGCTGAGCTGACTGCAGCAAGAACCACTCCCCCCCCCCCCCCAGATAACCTCGGGGGTCCATATTGTTCTTTTTCCTTACTTATTTTGGTTTTTGTTATTGTATTTATTTATTGACCTGTCTATTTAATGTATATGGGTGTTTTGCCTGTGTGTGTGTGTGTGTGTGTGTGTGTGTGTGTGTGTATTATGTACTATGTGCATGCAGTGCCCTTGGAGGCCAGAAGAGGGCATCTGATCTTCTGGCAGCTGTGAACTGCTATGACTGGGAACAGAACCCAGGTCCTCTGCAAGAGCAGCCAGTACTCTTAACTGCTGAGCCATCTCTCCAGATCCTGAGTGTGCTGTCTGTCTGTCTGTCTGTCTATCTACTGAGATAAGTATTTGTGTAGTGTATGCTAGCCTTGAACTAACCTAGCTACCTTCCTTCCTTCCTTTTTTTTTGTTTGGTTTGGTTTTTCAAGATAGGATTTCTCCATGTAGCCCTGGAGCTTACTCTGTAGACCAGGGTGGCCTCAGGGATCTGCCTGCCTCTGCCTGGCAAGTCCTGGGCTTGTAAGGCTCATGGCACCACACCCAGTTTAACCTTGAACTTTGAATCTTCCAGTTTCTACCTCCCAAGCATTGTGATTATAGGCCATGCCACCATGGCCTGCTTATTTTTTCTTTGAGACAGTTGAAACAGTGTCTGTTTCTGTAGCCCAGGTTGGCTTTAAACTCATGGCAATCCTCCTGCCTCAGCCCCCCCCCCCAATTCTGGGATTATAGATGTGACCTACCATGCCTACTCTACTTGTGTTTAATCTCCACAGCCATTTGTTGAGTCCTGCCTCTGTGACAGACACAAGTAACTAAGATGGCATTATTCCTACACACAAGGAATTTACTATCAGATATCAGATTGCTTAAATGGATACAGGTGATTACAGTATGATGTGATATGTTTGACAAGAAACATGTGGGCAAGGTATAAGGACTGTGTGTCAAGTGGTTTCTTATGCCTTGTGCTTCTTAGAAATGGATTACTCAGAGTTTTGAGTGCAAAGTAGGTTTTAAGTCAAAGGACTTTCCAAGCTGAGAAACAGGCAGAGGCAGTGTGGTGGCACTAACAGTACTTCAAGGATGAGCCAAGAATGCCTTGCTGGTTAAGAGTATGCACTGCCAGCTGGTGGCACACACCTTTAATCCCGGTTCTCAGGAGGCACAAGGGAATTTACGTGAGTTGGAGGCTGCCTAGTCTACAAAGTGAGTTCTGGGCCAGCTAGGGCTACATAGTGAGGCCCTGCAGTAGATCTGAGCTCTGTTCCCAGCACCCACGTCAGGAGGCTTACCTTTTCTGACCTCGTCAGGCACCTGAACTCACATGCACATACCTCCACGCAGAGACGTACACACGTACACATAAATCAAAATAAATCATCTGAAAAAAGTGTTTGCTGGGCAGTGGTGGTGCATGCCTTTAATCCCAGCGCTTGGGAGTCAGAGGCAGGCAGAGATCTCTGTGAGTTTGAGGCCAGCCTGGCCTACAGAGCGAGTTCTAGGAGAGCCAAGTATGACACAGAGAAACCCTGTCTCGAAAACAAAACAAAACAAAAACCCAAAACAGACAAACAAGAGAGTACTTCAAGGAGCCCCTGAGTCAGATCCATTTCCATTTTTTTTCTAAGGTAGGCAGTGTTGGTGGGCCCTGTGTCCCAGGCTGATGAGAGCAACTCCACCCCTTGGTACTCTGAATCCTTAGCACCAAGTGCTGAGACAATGACACCGTTTTGAGCCTGTTAGGACAGGGCCCTGGTTTCCTCCTCTCCACCATTCTGCAGTTGTAAAGTGGCTGTGCCCCACAGGCCAACACATTAGGATGTGCCGCTGCACCCCCATGTTGGCTCCAGTCAACCAGAGCTGGAGTGTGCTGCTGGCAGCTGAGGAGCCTTGGCTAGCTCAGTATTTAGCTGTGAAGTTGTGGAGGAGCATCCATATAAAAGAACCGGTTTCCCCAAATGAATCAAATCTCACTGCTTCCTAAAGAGTCAACATCCCCCCCCACAATTATACAGTAAAATTATACAGTAAAATGATTACAACTCATTTTCAGTAATATAAGTTATTAGTATACACAATTCATCTTTCTTTTCTTTTCTTCCTTCCTTTCTTTTCTTTTTTTTTTTCCGAGATAGAGTTTCTCTGTGTAACATCTCTGGCTGTCCTGGAACTCACTCTGTAGATCAGGCTGGCCTCAAACTTACAGAGATCCGCCTCCTTCTGCCTACCTGCCACTGGGATAAAAGGCAAGCGTCACCACCGCCCGGCATTTTTCTTACTTCTGAGACCTGATCCCATCACAAGTTGCTACAGAACTCACTATGTAACTCCTGCTTTAGTACCCCAAGTGCTGGGCTTATAGGTGTGTGTCATCACATCTGGCTTACATTTTTGGACTTGACTTTTATCTTCTAAAAGTAGAGGACCAGAAATAAGTATTATGAGTAATTGTGCATCTTTTAAAATATTTCCTTTTTTTAAATATTAATTAATTTGTTTATTTATTTTGAGATAAGGTCTTATTGGTAGCCTTGGCTGGCTTGGAACTCATAGATATCCCCCTGCCTCTGTTTCCCAAGTGCTAGGATTAAATGTTTGTGCCATCACTCCCAACCCAAGTGTTTATTCTTTAAAGAAGATGCTAAGGTGGTAGGGACCTAGTGAAAGTGCCTCCCCGGGCCTGGATTCCTTTGCTGCAGTCAGTGCAGGGACTCAGCAGGAACTGAGTCCTCACACCCTCACACCCAGTGCGCATCTGCTTCCCTTCTAGTTCTCAGGCACACTCTGTTTCTCCCATTCCACCATCCTGCCATTAGCGCAGCACAGCCCTGGGCCTGCATTGAGTAACATCCGGTCCGCAGTGCTCTAAGTCTAAGTCCTTAGCTGGTGTGCTCTCGCAAGGGGCATGGTGCCTATGGAGACAGAGGACAGCACTGTGAAGTTAGCTCTCTCTCATCTTGTATCTTTATGTGGGTTCTGGGGATTGAACTTAGACTGCTAAATTTGCGTGGTGATGGACAATTGCCTTTACCTACTTCACCATCTTCTGAGCCCTTTTTAAAACTCACTATGACCTTGAATTTCTGATCCTCAAAAGTCCTGGGATTACAGGTACATGCCACCATACCCAGTTTAGGAAGTGATATGGATTGAGTCCAGGGCCTAATGCATCTCAGGCAAGTGTTCTGACATCTGAGCCACAGCCTCGACTTTTTCTTTTCTTTTCTTTCTTTCTTTCCTTTTCTTTTCTTTTTTTCTTTTTTTTTTTTTTGAGACAGGGTCTCACTACTCACTATGGAGCTTTGTTTGGCTTGGTACATGCTATGTAAACCAGGCTAACCTCAAACTCACAGAAATCTGCCTGCATCTTTCTCCCAAGGATTAAAGATGTGTACCATCATGCTCACCCCAGATTTTTAAATTTTAATTAATTTATTTATTTGTATATGGGTGTTCACATACACTTGTGTGTCACAACATTAGTGTAAAGGTCAGTGGAAAACCTATGAGAATTGATTCTCTTTTGTTTTGTGGGTTCTGAGGCATCAAACTCAAGTTGTCAGGTCTGGCAGAAAATGCCTTCATCCTCTGAACTCAGATTTTTAAGTAACCCCCCCTCCACATTCACACACACACACACACACACACACACACACACAAGACTTGTACATGTGTATGTATATTCACTAGGGCTTGAACCCAGGGTTTTATATGTACAAAACATACGCGTAGATGCCAGACATGATGGCTCACACCTGCCATTTCAGCCTTTGAGAGGCTGAGGCAAAAGGATAGTTTTGAGCTTGAGGCAAGCCTAGTCTACATAGTGAGCTCTAAGCTAGTTAGAGCTACACATTAAGACCCCCCATGTGGCATTTGTCCTAGCATGTCCTGCCTTTCTTGACTTTTATTCCTATCAAACCGAAGACTTCTGTCACTTAAGTTTGTATGTCTATCCTGATGGAGTGCCTAGCCTAGGTTATCTCCAAGAATATGGTGTTTGGATGCCTCAGTAAAGAAGGGTCCTGGGGTTGGTGAGATAGCTCAGTGGCTAAGATGGCTTGCTGCTTTTCTAGAGGCCTCCAGCTTCCATGTCAGGTGGCTATCACAACTACCTGTAACTCCAGCTCCTGATTCTTTCAAGACAGGGTTTCTCTGTAGCTTTGGAGCCTGTCCTGGCATTGCACTGTAGACCAGGCTGCCCTGGAACACACAGAGACCTGCCTGTCTCTGCCTCCCAAGTGCTACCACGGCCTGGCAAGAGCTTCAGGAGATCCAATACCCCCTTCCGACCTTTGAGGAACCCATACACACAGAGACAAAATGAAAATAATTCTTTTTTAAAAATATTTTCAAACATTTATTTATTATGTATACAGTATTCTGCCTGTGTGTATGCACACACACTGGAAAAGGGCACCAGATCTCATTATAGATGCTTGTGAGCCACCCTGTGGTTCCTGGGAATTAAACTCTAGGCCTCTGGAGAAGCAGCCAGTGCACTTAACCTCTGAGCCATCTCTCCAGCCTGAAAATAATTCTGAAAGCAGGGGCTATATTGATTTGTTTATATTTTTGAAATAGTGATTTGTAATTGAGGCTCTAGTGGGCTCAATGACTGTATTTTTCAGTGTAAACCCTTGGAGCTTGGCTGACTTGAGAGCACCCTGCAGGTATCTCTGATGCCAGAAAGGCCAAATTGTACACTTGTTTGATGGAGGGCTAGCCCTGAACTGAAGGAAGTTCATCTGCCTGGGAGCCTGCTGGCTGGCCTTAAAGTCAGGGCAAGCTTCCCTGCTATTCTTTACCTTCCAGCTGCACCAGAATTGACAGAGAAACCTTCAGTTCAGTTAGAGAGGAGAGGTTCAGACACCCAGGAGGAGGCCTGTAATGGCTGGGATGTAACTGTGACCATGTTTTTCTGTGACTTAGAAATAACTAAGCATGTTTGTTTGCACGTAAGACCTTCCTCAGACACAAAACACAACAGCTGAGTGTGGCGTCTCTGAGTTTGAGTCCAGCCTGGTCTACAGAGTGAGTTCCAGGATAGACAGGGCAGTATCATGAGACCCTGTCACAAAAAAATACCCCAAAACAAAACAAAGAATTCTTAAAATGTTTTAAATTGCATGTGTGTGTTTGTGTCCTACAGCATGGGTGTAAAGGTCAGAGCACATCATACCAGAGTCAGTTCTCACTTTCTATCATGGATTCCAGGGATCAAACTCAGGCCTTGGGCCTTTTTTGTTTTGTTTTTTTGTTTTTTGAGACAGGGTTTCTCTGTGTAGTTCTGGCTTTCCTGGAATTCTAGACCAGGCCTCCCTCAAATTCATAGAGATCCCCCTGCCTCTGCCTCTTGAATGCTAGGATAAAAGCATGGGCCATTACCACCAATTTAATTTTTTCTTCTCTAGCTGCTGTAGACCAGGCTGGTCTCGAACTCACAGAGATCCACCTGCCTCTGACTCCAGAGTGCTGGGACTAAAGGCATATGCCACCACGGCCTGGCTAATTTTTTTTTTTTTCCTAAAAGGTATTCCCTAAGACTTTTTTTTTGCTATTCATAGTTAGACTGTGTAACCCAAGAAGAGGGATGTTAAACATGGGGCAAGGTAACAAATGGCCTCAAAGCATAAAATGGTTCGAGGCTGCGGGGGTGACTCTTACCTGTACTCTGGAGGGCCAAGGAGGATTGTTGAAAGGTGGAGACCAGGGGCACATAGCAAGGTTCTGTCTTTATTTAAAAAAAAAAAAAAAAAAAAAAAAAAGATCCCTATGAGTTTGACTCCAGCCTGGTCTAAATTCTTGGCTAGCTAGGGTTACATAGTGAGATCCTGCTTAAAAACAAACAACATAGTCACAAACAGCTATCTAGAGACCCAGTCTCAGGTTGGCCTCAGATTCTCTGTGTAGCTGAGGATAACCCTGGACTTCTGAATGGGCTCATCCATACCATACCAGGACACAACGTTGCCAGTACAGCTAAGCTACCTCAGAGACTGAGCCTGACTCGGGTTGGGAAGGAGAGTAGTCAACGCTCCACTCCATCCACCCAACCAGCTCCCAGAGGCTAACAAACTTCTGATTCTCCCGCAGTCATCTGCTGAGCACCTGCATGTCTAGTTAGTGCAGGGTTGGGGCCTGAGCCCACAGCCTCCTGCACACCAGACCAGCACTCTAACTAAGCCCTGGGTTTCACATCTTTTTTTTTTTTTTAATTTTATGTGCACCAGTATTTTGCCTGAATATATGTCCCTGTGAGGGTGTTACTGGGGTAACAGACAGTCGTGAGCTGCCACGTGGGGATTGAACCCAGGACCTCATAGAGCGGCCAGTGCTCTTAACTGCTGAGCCATCTCTCTGACCCCGGGGTTTTGAATCTTGACTGAGTGCAGGACTTGTTCTGCCACCCCTCTGGCTGTCTGCAGATACCCATGATTTGCCTCTTCTCTGACAGGAGGGAACAGTTTCTAGAGGCCCAAGTTTCATGCCCCCCCAAAGTCACATGGTACCTCTCATGCAGCAGGCATTGCGACAGTGTGAGCTAGTGGATGGTGTGAGCGCCTTAACCCACCTCTGCCTCTTTCCACCTGCAGCTGTGCAAGTGTGACTCACTGTGGGAGCAGATAGTTCAGTCGGCCTGTGACACCATCACCCCCGACATGCGGGCCCTGGCGAAGGACTTGGGCTGGAGACAGGTGTTCTTCACCAACAAGATCCAGCTGCAGAGGCAGATCCGCAGGAAGAAGCAGAGACAGGGAAAGCAGAAGGAGAAGCATATTTAGCAGCCAGCTTTTTCCACCGCTGGCTGAGCCCACAGACGTGCCTCTCTTCAGATCCAAATCTTGTTCTTGTTTAACAACAGTTGTTGCTGATTCCAGGAATCACTTGACAAATCCCATTTTGCACATACATGCAAATCCATCCAGTGCCTTACTTGAGCAACCACCCCTGTCCTGCTCAGGTCAACCCATGGCCTAAGTATTTAGGGATATAAGACAGGAAGCCTTTTAGGCCACCACCTTCCCAATCCCATTACCCCTGAGGAAAGAGGCACTTGTGTGTATGAACTAACAATAAAGACTTATTTGCAGCTTGTGTTTTTTTGGTTTTGGTTTTTTTTTTTTTTTTTTGTATCAGACAGGGATCCCAAGCTGGACCTTTAGGATGACTTTGAATTTCTGACCCTCTTGCTAGAATTATAGGCAATCACCACCATACCCAGTTCATAAGATGCTGACCTGTGTGCTAAGTAAGCAGTCTGTCCACCAAGTCATACCCCCACAATGTACTGCTGGGGTTTTGTTGTTATTGTTGTTTTGAGACAGGATTTCTCTCTGCAGCCCTGGGTGTCCTGGAACTCCCTCTGTAGACCAGGCTGGCCTTGAACCCAGAGATCTGCCCGCCTCTGCCTCCCTAGTGCTAGGATTAAAGGCATGTACAACCCTCACCCCGACATTCAAAAAAAAAAAAAAAAAAGGCTTTTGACTTTTTTCCTGTTGTGCTATCTGCATCCCTCTGTCGAGTGGGTGGCTGGGTGCACTTGGAGGTACGGGTGCCACAGAGGCACCCACCCCGGGAGAGTACAGCTGCGCCCCCACCTCATCCTATCCAGTTCCTGTCCTTGTGAGCCCAAGGTGTCATCCGCCACACAACCGCTGATATGGCACCAGAGAGTGGCCGGGAGAGCCCAGACTGTGCAGGCAACCCTTACTCAGAGGGTGTTAGCACTGTTTAACAAACCTGCCAGTCAGTTCTCAGAGTCGGGCCACTGCTTTCTGGAGGGAAAGCAGCAGGACCCCACTTTGCAGCAGGGATTTCCTTTTTCTTCAATACAGGGTTTCTCCGTGTAACAACTCTGGCTGTCCTAGAACTAGCTCTGTAGACCAGACTGGCCTTGAACTCACAGAGATCTGCCTGCCTCTGCCTCCCTGGTGCTGGGATTAAAGGTGTGGGCCACCAATGCCTGGCTGCAGCAGGGATTTTAAGAGCAGAGGCTGTGGGTAACCAGTGTGAATAGCTAACATGCATTTAGTTAGCATGGCCACGGACGCAAGTCAGAGACCAATCAGAGCTACACGAGGCCTCGTCTCTAAAAAGAGGTGGGGAGAGAAGGTTGGAGAGATGACTCAGTGGTACTGTTGCCTGCCACTCAGGATACCTGGGAACCAAGGGAACTGAAAATCCCGCCCTTGTGGTTCATGTCTTTCATTTGACAAGCAGTTAATCCTATTGGCAGTTCAGAATTTTTGTTTTGGTAAAGACTTATTTTTACACATATATAGGTGTTTTGCCTGCACGAATGTCTGTGTATCACTCAAATGCCTAGTGCCCACAGAGGCCAGAAGAGGCTGCCCCATCCTCTAGAACTGGAGTTACAGACTGCTGTGAGCCACCGTCTATCTGGGTTCTGGGAACTACACCCAGGTCCTCGGGAAGAGCAGTTAGGGCTCTTAACAGCCAAAAAGTCTCTACAGCCCTCAATATCCTTTTAAAATTCTTCAAATGTTGTATATTATTGATTATAGTTTCCATCTGCACAGGCTTCGGGATATTGCTATCAGCTTTTGTGTCTCTGCCAGACTTGGTGGCTGTATTAGGAACTTACCTGGGCTCGCAAGGGATTTTTCTATCAGCCTGCCCATGCCCACAGAAGCCCAGACCTCACTTGTTTATTGGAAACGAAGAGTTAGCTGAAAGACTAAAAATAGCGTCTCTAAGTGCTCTGTAGACAGCACCTGACCAGAGTGCAGTATGAAAGTTAATATAGTAGGCCAGACACAGTGGCACAGGCTCATGAGATCCTGGGAGGCAGAGGCTTGGGGATTTTGAGTTCAAGGCTACATAATGAGACTGTCTCAGACAATCAATCAATCAAACAAACAAATGAATGAATGATGACAGATATCTAAAATTGAAATGCTTCATCTTTTTTTTTTTTTTTCCTGCTTTTCCAGACAGGTTTTCTCTGTGTCAGTCTTAGCTGTCCTGGATCTAGCTCTGTAGACCAGGCTGGCCTTGAACTCAGAGTTCCCAAGTGCTGGGAGGCATCCACCACTACTGTCCAGTGAAATGTTTCATTCTTAAATACACTGAGAGTAGTTCTCCAGTAGTTCTGTATATACCAAGAGTAGTTCTGTACCAAACAATTGATGCCTGCCTGTAATCCCAGCATTCTTCAAAGTTACACACACACACACACACACACACACACACACACACACACACACAGAGAGAGAGAGAGAGAGAGAGAGAGAGAGATTTTATATAGAGAGGTTTTATATAGAAACTCACTGGTCACCTTTAAAGAGGACAACATTTATTTAGTTACAAATAAATAAACAACACTTGGGTATGCAAAGGGCAAACGATAAAGCATATGATGTAACCACACAATTAAGCAGCCAGAGAATGTCTTCAGAACATTGCATTGCAGGTGTGAACAGAGATAGGAGCTGGTTTTGTTTTGTTTTGTTTTTGCAAGCAGGTCTTGCTTCAGTCCTGCAGGGACCACTGATTCAGTAGAAGCCACTGCACCTTCAAATAAAGTAAGTCCATAAATAGAAACGTGAGCAATCTAACTAACCTGGATGCTATTCCAGCTGGGTCAGTTGGCAGAAAGTTTGTATCTCTGATGCATAGCAAACAATACAGGCATCCCCATCATGGGCCATAGCACCATTCAGCACACTTAACATTGCCTCCTGTTAATTGATGTGACAGACAATGAGAGTAGTTAAGTAATGTAGTTTTAAAAATACAGAACATGTTTAACGGTTCCTTATTGTAAATACTCATACACACATGCATGTGTGTGTTTGAATGTATTTAACATGAAATTAAATATCTCTGTTTCAGCTTTGAAGATCATTATTCATTTTTTTTTTTTTTTTTGAGACAGATTCTCTCTGTGGACCTCAGGCTGCCCTGGAAGCTCACTCTGTAGACCAGGCTGGCCTTGAACTCAAGAGATCTACCTGCCACTACCTCTCAAGTGTTGGGATTAAAAGTATGCATCACCATGTCTGGCTAATATCACCTTTATTAAAATATCAAGTTGTGCTACATGTATGATGATAACAAACAGGTCTTTGGCCAGGGGTGGAGGCAGAGAGGCAGAGGCAGGCAACTTGCTATGATTTCAAGACTAGCCTGGTCTATGTAATGAGAACCTACTTCAAACAAAACAAAAACCAAACATGTCTTTGTGTTAAGCCAAATGGAGCATGGCATCGACATTATTGTTCCCATCCTTGGAGGGAGTATCAAGTGTGTGCTTTAGCTGGGCTCCTTTCTGCTAGCCAGCCTGCTCACCAGTGCTGAAATCTGGGTGGTTTCATGGTACCGCCCTTTCACTAGTCCTTAGGGCAGGAGATAGTAGAAATGAGGCAGAAGGAAACTAACTGTTCATATAATTACCTGTTAACGTCTGGGAAGCTCCCCTTGCATTCTGATTGAAAGTTAGACCTTGGGAGCATTCTACAATTCCAGTCCCTAGCATTCCTGCCTTTAATTACCAAAGGTAATTGAGACTGGGGTGGATTCCTTTTAGGTAAATTTGACCCAAGACACTGACAGTTTCGTTTGATGAATAAATTGCAAGTCCAAGTTTCTTGTGTTATGGTATATGGTGTGGAGATGAATCCTAGGATCTTAAACACGTTAGGCAAGTACTCTTATCACTGAGCCATACCCCCAAACCAGCACGTACACATGTAAGTCATTTAAAGGCATCATTTAAAGGTATAAATACATAAGGCAGTCAGAAATTTCAGAATGATCCTGGGAGGAACATTCTGAAGTCGGAAAAATGTCTTAGCATTAGAAAAATAGAGATCTCAGCTAAGGAAGAGTATTGGATTCTATGATGTCCCAGATCAGACATTGTCATGTATGAAACCTACAAATCAAACTATTTTTACAATTGTGCCCAGTCCAGACAAATGAATAATCTATGTGGCAAGAGGCACCAGAGCTGGGCTGTTTGGCACCACTGCCCCAGTGACAGCTACATGCACAGCTATGAGGCAAGATAGCCATAACCCTCACAGCTTGACTCTTGTTTTGTTTTTGAGACAAGCTTTCTTTGTGTAGCCCTGGCTGTCCTGGAACTCACTTCAGAGATTCGCCTGCCTCTACCTCCTAAGTGCTGGGGTTAAAGGAGTGTGCCACCACTGCCCAGTGCTTAAAAAAAAAAAAAAAAAAAAAAAAGATGGTTCACTATAAGACAATAGCATGAATCAAAGTGTCTGAATCGTAGCCCTTGATGCAATAGTCATGTGCACTAAGAAACACACATACCGCTAAGGACATCATTAACAGACCACTTGGGAAGGATTTGTGTTGAGCCTAGCTTACTGATGAACTCACCTTCTAGGACATGATCAGTTGAGTTGGAAGGATGGCCAATTTCATTTTTAAAGGAAGAGTTAGAAACTGTACTTCTTACCTACATAATTCTTTCATAAAAATATAAACCATCTTTTTAAAAATTGTACTAAATTGTATTACTTTTTTAAAAAAAGGTTTGATGTTGTATTTTATGTGTATGGGTGTTTTTTCTGAGTGTTTGTATGTGTGACACATATGCAGTGGCCACAGCAATAAGATGAGGGCATCTGAGTCTCTGGAACAGGAGTTATAGCTAGTTGTCAGCCAACATGTGGGGGCTCGTAGCTGAACTCTGGTCTTCTACAAGAGCAGCCAGCGCTCTTAGCCTCCTAGCCTTCTTTCCAGCCCACAAATTACATTACTTTTGCAATGATAGCCTGCCTTTGTATATTAGGATACCAGTAACTTATTGTAAGAATTAATTTCTGACACTCAGTCATGTTCTCATGCTTACAGCCCATTTTCTGGACCCTTTGTGGAAATACAGACTCTTGGTTTTATTTTTACAAAGAAGTGGTTGAGTTGCAAAGCTTTTATTTCCAGTTTTTGTATGTAAAACTCTAGTCCCATCAGATGACAAGAGGAGTGAGAAGAGACGGGGACTTCTTTCTTTTCGTTTCTTTTTCTTTTTTTGACAGGTTCTCAAGTAGCCCAGGCTGGCCTCGAACTCACTAGGTAGCAGAGGCTAACTCCTGCCTCCACCTACAGCTGGGATTACTGGCATTTGCCACTATGCCTGGCTTGAAAGTTTTTCTTCCAGGGCATCTGTATCAACTACTTAATAAGCTACAAACACCATCACCTCTAACACATACGCAGTTCTAATCACTTCTACCACCTCGTCGGAGAGGCCATGCTGCTCATGGATGAAACAACAACAATGGCATTTACATGTTACCATACAGTTACAGTTACCATACAGAGCATTCCTCTAGCGACCAGGTGAGGTAGGCACGAGGAGAGGACCCACAACAAATGTTGCATGACACTAAACATGTGCACCATCTGTGTACTTTCTTCTGGATTGTTCTATCATCTGAGTACAGGGTTGAATAAGCAAAAAGAGTATTCCTACCATGTAGAGCAGACCACATATATAAAAGGAAAAATCGTATTTTTGTGTGATGTCGAAGATCCACCCTACAAAAACAAAAAATATAGATGTATTCAGTATAATACAGTTTAAGAAAAATTAAAAGTTATAAACCCGGCATTTATTGCTACTTCAATTTTTTTTTTTTTAATTTTTCAAGACAGAGTTTCTTTGTCTAGCCCTGGCTATCCTGGAACTTGACCTGTAGATCAGGCTGGCTCTATTTTTTTTTTTTTTAAATGAATTTGGACTGGGGAATGTAGCTCAGTGGTAGAGCACTTGTTAGCACATATTAAAGCCACAGTTCAGTCTCCAACACTGCCCCTCCAATTTATTAACTTTTCTTTGTAATTCTGGGGGTAGAACCCAGAGCACCCTGGGCCACAGAGACAGGCCTCATTCAGAATATATATATGTGTGTATAATACACACACACACACACACACACACACACACTGGATATAAGATCTCACAAACTATACTCAGACTAGTCTCAAATTCACTATGGGTTGTTTCATTATTATTTACTGTTTTTCTGTTTGTTCTTGAGACAAGGTCTTACTGTGTAGCCCTGGAACTCACTACATAAATCAGGCTGGCTTAGAACTCACGGAAATCCACTCACCTCTGCCTTTTAAGTGTTGGAATTAAAGGGTACCATGCCTGGCGGTACCTATTTTATTTATTTGCGTGTGTGTGAACTTTGTGTGTGGCACTAGTGTACTATGTGGAGGTGGAAATACTTAGATTAGTAGAAATGGGTTAATATTTAAGACAGAGCTAGCCGATAAGAAATGCTAGTAACAGGCTAACAGAATTTTATTTAATACAGCATCTCTGTGTTATTTGGGGCTGGTGCAGCTGTGGGACCTACTGGCAGAAAAGCTTACTCATAACATGGAGGTCACAGAACGCTGTGGAGCAAGTGAGTTCTCTCCGTCCATGTTTATGTGGGTCCCAGGGACCTAACTCAGGTCATCGCTCATGTGGAACTTATGTGACAAGTACTTTACGCACTAAGTCAGCTCATCATCCCTATTAAATGTGGTGTTTGACTTAAATATAGGAGGCAGTAGGTGTGGCAGAGGCAGGTGATCCAGGCCAGCCAGAGCTACCCAATGAAAGCCTCTCAAAAAACAAAACAAAAGACAAAAAACAAATAACAAAAAAAAAAAAAAAAAAAAAAAAGAGGCAAAAATAAAGGTCATCTTCGTTAGATGTGGCTTAGTAAAATGCCCTGTCCTTTTCCATCAGCAATCTAAAACAAGATTAAACACATAATACAAAAATGATTCTGCTTCAGAAGCTGAAAGCCACCCTGACACTGACATCTCAAGAACCCCCACCAACTCCTCGGCGACACCAGCTGCCTCCAATGGGACTTGTGTGATGACTACATGAGCAAGCGAAGGCACTGTAGCTAGAGGGCTCTGTATCCACCTCAGAATAGATCCGGTGAGGGGACTGACTATAATCTGAAAATCAGAAGATCAGGGCAGGATCTGGGGGGCACAGGGCTGTCATCCCAGCTACGGGAAGAATGCAAATTCAAGATCTGCCTGGGCTACAGAGTGTCCTTGCCTAGTCAGCCTGGGCAATTTAAGGAGACCTTCGTCTCAGAGTGAAAATTAGCTAAGTTTGCCTCACACCTCTAATCCCAGCACTTGGAAAGACTAGTATCTAGGTAGATCTCCGTTGGTTTGAGGCCAGGCTGATCTGCATAATGAATGCATTCATGCAAGCTGTAGGCATACAGTGAGATGCTGCCCCCAAGAGGAGGGGGGGCAAAAAGGCTGGTGGTGAAGCCTTGGAAGAGGCCTTGGGTTCAATACCCACGGAGGCCAGAAGAGGTCACTCATGGGTTCTCTGGAGCTGGGGTACAGTGGTTGTGAGTCACCTGATGTGGGTGCTGGGAACTAAACCTCTGGAAGAGCAGCAAGTGCTCTGTTTTGTTTGTTTGTTTTTTGTTTTGTTTTGTTTGTTTGTTTTTTGTTTTGTTTTTTGGTTTTTGTTTTGTTTTTTTTTTTTTTTTTTTTTTTTTTGGTTTTTCGAGACAGGGTTTCTCTGTATTGCTTTGGAGCCTGTCCTGGAACTAGCTCTGTAGATCAGGCTGAACTCAAATTCATAGAGATCTGACTCCTCTACCTCCCGAGTGCTGGGATTAAAGGCATGCGCCACCAACACCTGGCGCAAGTGGTCTTTTTAAAAATGTAATTTATTTGTTTTTATTTTATGTATATTGGTGTTACCAGCATTTATGTCTGTGTGAAGGTGTCAGATCTTCTGGAACTAGAGTTACAGACAGTACTGAGTTGCCATGTGGGTTCTGGGAATTGAACCTGGGTCCTCAGGAAGAACAGCCAGCTCTCTAGCCCTAATCACTGAACCATGCATCTTTTCAACCTCTCACTCCCATATTGGGGACTGAACCTAGCTAGGGCCTCACACTTGCCAGAGAAGGGCTCTTGTGAACTCCCTATGTAGCTGAGGATGGGTGACATTTCCTGACCAGGCACACCTGGTTGTGGTCTGTGTCCTTTGGAACTTGGGACCTTCAAAATTCTTTCATCCATTAACTCAAAGCAATAGCTTCTAAGAAAACCTGGTTCCCTAGTCAATTGCCTTCCCTCAGTGAGAAGGATAGGTATCTTATCAATTAAATTGCTCCCAGCTCTTGGGCAACATTGAAAATGTTTCAGCTAGCCTGATCTGATTGACTGGATTTTTGTTAGGAAGTATTCTAGAAACATCTAGAAAAATTACCTCTACTATGAGATCTTTTAAGAAGTGAATACCCGGTAATGTTATAAAATGAATTAGATTGAAGTTGGTCTTGTCTAATGCCATGGTCAAAATGTGTGTATAATGTCTTGAATTGCACGCTTTCCCTAAATGGAAGCACTCGAATGTCTAATGTGGCACTAAATTGTATCACGTTTTTAAATGGGACTAGAAATCACTCTGAAAAAATGGGAAACATGTTTGTTTCTGAAACCACTTACAGGGGGGAACAAAAGGTAATTGGAGAAGTAATTTTCTCCGATGCACATTAAGTAGGATTTCAAGTCCATTTGGGATGTCTAGCAAGAATTGAATGCCGTTATTTAGTCGATCCTATTGCCATGCACCCTGACCCCAGAGTGCACGAATGGTGGCCTGCATCACATTACAACCTTAGTTTCTTGGCCCCAAGAGTCGATTAAACATTATGCAGGCAGCCAATGAGTGTCCTTCACCAATAGTGTGTGAATCAGTAGGAGGAGAGGAAGCAACAAACACTAGGAGAAAAACTTGGATCTGATGGATGGGGACCCTAGCCTGGAGTCCCCACAGCAGTGAGGGTAGGCGCCCACAGAAACTTCTTTCTTTGATTATTTCTGTTGTGGAAGTGCTTTTGTTTGTTTTGTTTTGAGATGGGGTCATATGTAGCCCAGGCTAGCCTTAGACTCCTGCTATTTTAGCGTCCACCTCCCAAGTGCTATGATTACAGCCTTTCACAAACATGCCTGGCCTTAAAGTTCTCTCACAATTATATATTTATATTAATATATGGGAAACGTATATTTAGTGCTTTGGTGTTAGCATGTGTGCATGCGAATGCGTATGTTCGCGCGCCCATTGCTGTGTGTGTTCAAGTGCTTATGAGTGCTCGTAAGACAGTGCTGGATGGGTACTTCCATCTCTTTCCATCTGTTCCTTTGAGGCAGGGTTTCTCCCTCAACTTGAGGTGCATGTCTTCTCTCTCTCCCTTCCTTCCTTCCTCTCCTCCCCTACCCCCATCTTTCTTAAAAGACAGGGCTTCTTTATGTCCTGGAACTCAGAGGTCCCTCTGCCTCCCAAGTGCTGGAATTAAAGGCATGTGCCACCATGGTGCTCGGCACACTTTCTTGGCTAGACCTTTGACCACCTGAACAGTAAGATAATGGTTATGGCAGCTTATTTGAGCAGCGAAAGGCAACAAACACATGGCTAGACCTGAGCATGGATGTCCTTTGGTGGTTTTTTGAGATAGGGTCTCATGTGGCCAAGGATTATCTTGAAATCTAGATCTTTGCCTCTGCCTCTCAAGTGCTAGGACTACAGGCACAGATCAGAGTATGACGTGCTGGGTATAAAACTCAGGGCACCCTATGTGCTAGGCAGACACTCTACCAACCCAGACATATCACAGCACCGTGTTTGGTTTCTTCTCTTTGAAGAATGTGTGTGTATGTTTGTATGTGTATGGGTCTGTGCCATAGTATAATCGTGGAGGTCAGAGGACAATCTACAAGATGTCATTCTTTCCTCCCACCACATGGGTTTTGGAGATTGGACTCAGCTCATCACACTTGGCACTTGGTGGCAAGTGCCTTTATCTGCTGAGTCTCAGGGCCCTGTGATTTCTTGAGATAGGGTCAGATCATGTAGCAAAGGTAGACTTGGAATTTGTTCCAATCCTCCTGCCTCCATACCCTTAAGAGATTACAGGTGTCTACTACCACATCTGGCCTTTTTTTTTTTTTTTTTTTTAAGATTTTATATATTTAGTATGTATACAGTTATCTGAATGCATGATTGCACACCAGAAGAGGGTACCAGATCTTATTATAGGTGATTGTGAGCCACCATGTGGTTGCTGGGAATTAAACTCAGGTCCTCTGGAAGAATAGACAGTGCTCTTAACCTCTGAGCCAGCCTTTTTGTTTTTCCTTCTCTCTTTCTTTCTTCCTTCCTTCCTTCCTCCCTCCCTCCCTCTCTCTCTCTCTCTCTTTCTTTTTGGAGACAGCTTAGGCTGATCTCTAACTAGCAGTGTTTTTTCTACCTAAATTTCCCAAGTACTGAGATCACATGCATGTGCCACCATGCCCAGCTCTGACATTGGACTTTATAAGGGGCAGGGCCACATCCTGCCCTCCAGCATGCACTCTAAACTCTGGGTACCTTGGGGGCACTCACCTGCAAATGGTGGTCCCAGTAAAGCTGAGATGCCATTGGCACAGATGATGATGCCATAGGCATTGGCCAAGTGCTCAGTGCCAACCAGATCCTCCGTCACCACGGGCATCAGGGAGAAATACCCGCTGGAAAACCCAATCAGGGCGCAAATGACAGCCAGGCTCGCATAGGTGTGCATCAACGGCAGAAGGAAGATGCTGCAGACGAGGGTGAAGTTAGCGATGAGGAAGACGTTCCAGACACTGATGCAGGGGAGGTCAGCCACCGCCCCCAGGATCACCTTCCCAAAGATGTGAAGTATTGCTATAATTGAGGTCAGAGGGAACACGTCATTTTGCTCCGACAGGTTGTACAAACTGACGATTTCTGGCAGGTGGATGAAAGGGATGACAAAGCTGCTGTATGCGAACAGAGCCCAGAAAATAAAGGCTACAAACATGCGGTTGGTGAAGAGTGAGGCTGTTCCAAAATAGCCTGAATACCAGTCCCCAAAGCCCTTCTGGACTCGCACAGTGAGCTGGCTCACTGTCTTCAGAACTTGGAAAGCACACATGTTTTTCCTGTCACACGTTTGACCTTGACACTCCTGTGCTTGAAGGTCACAGCCAGTCTCCTCGTTCCCCGGCAGCCTGTCCTGGTCTTCAGTTATGCCCAGTGGTCCTGATTTCACAGATTCAGTGGAGTAAGCTGGGAGGGCACAGGGCTCCTCCTCTCTTGGGCAGTTTTCTACCTTCCCAGGAGGGAGGGGCCTCATGAGTGCCCCACAAACACACAGGTTCAAGGACACAGCACCTTGGATGAACATGGCGTTCCGCCAGCCATACTCCGCACACAGGTATTTCAGCAAAACGGTCATTAGGAATGTCCCAAATCCTGTCCCCGTGGTACTGAGACCCTGGGCCAGGGCTCGCCTCTTCTGGAAGTACCTTCCCACCATGACCACCGCAGGCAGGTAAGCCATCCCGCTGCCGAGGCCTGCAGGTGAGACAGAAAACGTCAGCAACCATACTACATAAAGATCAGCAGCCATGTCAGGCAGCTTTGATTAGTGGTTTTAGAGAACTTAATTCTTGATGCTTTGGGGCATGTCAGGGCAGAGAGTCACAGCAAAGCTCATGGGTTTCAGGAAGTCAAGAAAAAGAAGACTAGGGATCTAGCGGTTGGTAGAATGCTTGCCCTAGCATGCACGAATTCCCAGCACCACATAAAAGTGGTCACAGTGACACAGGTCTATAATCCTAACCCCTAGGAAGTGGAGGTAGGAGGGTCAGAACTGCAAGGTCATCCTCAGCTACACAGTGAGTTTGAGGCCAATATGGGATGCACACGGCCCTGTTTAAGGGCATTAACCTATTCCTTTCATTGGGCCCCACTCTCTAAAGATGCCACCACCTTTCAACGGCCCATCTTGACTACACAGCCTACAGGGACATTAAGATCCAAACTGTAACACCTCCATCTCCTTACACCATTACTTGTCCATTCTAATGAAGGAATAATGATGACTCTGTAAAGAAGCTTTGAGGAGGGGAGTCAGGAGGAGCCAACATTTTTTTCCCCCAGGCTTTGCAGTAGTTCCTGCCAATACCATCAGAGCACATTCCTCCTGTAAGATCAGAAGATTCAAAAGACTGTGAGTTCCAGGCCAGCCTCACCTACAGAGGGAGGCCCTGTCTTAGACAGAATCACACAGAGGAAAGTGACTGGTCCCTTGTGGGGACTGTCCATGAAAGGAGCTGGGTGAGAAACTTGTGAGTTAACCAAATAAACAAGACAAGAGTGTTGTAACCTCTGTTCCTTCCATAACATGGGTGGTTCCTGGAAGGAGTGGGTTTACTCTCAGTCACTCATCTCCTCATCCCATCCATTATTACTCAGAATGATGCTCCCAAGCACAAGCTGCCGTGTGGCTGTGCCCTGCTTAAACTCTATCGAGTGTCGCTCACATGACTTTCCTAATGTTATGCGCAGATCCAGGAACCCCAAAAATCCACCACTGAGGAAGCAACACACTGAATGTAAAAACAAAGGTTGCAACTCGGACCCTGCCTGTTTGGGAACAAGCAGAATGCTGCTTTTGGGATGAGGGGGTTTTTAAACGGGAAAGTTCAAAAGACTGGATGTCCTAACATTACAAAGTTTTAGAGGAAATAAGTTTGTTAATTATCTCCTAGGCAGGGACTTTTACAACTACAAATTGACAACTATCCGATCTTCTTTAGGACAGAGAAATGTTGACACAGCTTGGGGGTGTCATCTATTCCCAGGCCTCTGTACCCAGTTCTTTGTTTAGCCTTATCTATCAGGCTGCCTTTTTGGGGAACCCAGAGAGGCTTGAACATTTTCTGTTTCCTATATAGGCTTTGGAGTCTAAGTTTTGGACTTTTATTAACTTTTTTTCCCTTTCACTAGCTCTCAGAATACTCCCAGGATATAAACTGGCTGGTGGCCTGAATAAATATGGCCATTGCATGAGACCAGTGTGTTTCGTTTTTAGGCTCCCACTGTCCCAGGGTCACACCCCCAGCTGGAACAGTAACAGTCCCTAAGCTTCCTGCCATTGTCATCCAGGGCAAGACTCTGGACCAATTTCTTAGAATGTAAAATAGACAAAGGAAAAAAAAGCCCACAGAGGCCAGCAAGACAACTACAGGATGGAGGGGCTTGCTGCCAAGCCTGACAACCGGAATTTGATGCCCAGGATGCGCATGGTGGAAGGAGAGAACTGAATCCTGCAAGTTGTTTTCTGACCTCCCCCCCTTGTGAACTGTGGTATACACAAACACACACACACACACACACACACACACACACACACACACACACACGGAAAGGGATTGGAGAGATGGTGTAGTGATTGGGAGTATTTATTGCTACTGCAGAGGATCTGGGTTGATTCTTGGAACCCACATGGCAGCTGTAACCATTTCTAGTGGGTCTGACCACCCCTTCTTCTGAATTCTGTGGTGGTCACATACACGTGTGGTTTATGTACACACGTGCAGGCAGGCACACTCACATGCATAAAATAAAACTTAAAAAATCTAGGGACTGCAGAGATAGCTCACAGGTTAACAACACTTGCTGCTCTTGCAGAGGACCCAGGTTTGGTTCTCAGCACCCACAGGGTGGCTCACAACCACCTGCAATTCTAGTTCTAGGGATCTGCCACCCTCTTCTGGCTTCTGGGGGTACTGCACAAATATAGTGCAGATATACATGCTGACAAGATTCCCATAAACATAAAATGAAAATAAATAAATCTTTTTTAAATCTAAAAATATTAAAAAGAAGCTGGGCATAGTGGTGTACTCCTTTAATCCCATCCAGCACCTGGGAGGCAGTTGCAGGCAGATCTCTGTGAGTTTGAGGCCAGCCTAGTCCTCAAAGCAAGTTCCAGGACAACTAGGGCTGTTACACAGAGAAATCCTGTCTTGAAAAACCAACAAAATAAAATACAAAGGCATCATCCTATGGTCCATCACCAGGCCCATATCTCCTCATGGGTTGACTGAGTTTGAACCATCTGTAACATCTACTTGCTATTTGAGAAAATTAACTAAGTAAAAATACAGAAATGATATAATATCTATCTAGATGATTGTTTATCTAAAACCCTAGCTTGGTCCTCCAAGAAATAAGAAACTCCAGTCGATTTCTGTGTCTAGTGTGGACTTTTGAGACCTTACCCCTTCAGACAGACTGTGCTCATGTCCTCTGCTCCCAGCCCACTTGACATCAGCAATGTCACCTGGACCATACATCTCCTCCTCCCCTACCCAATTGCCCCCTCCCTCACCTCTTTTCTGGTCTTATGGTAGTTGGTTAGTTCTCTCCTATCACATAACTCAGGCATCAGGCTTGGTGGTAGGCACCTCTGCCTGCTAAACCATCTCACTTGCCGAGGCAATTTTTTAAAAAAAGAGATTAATTTTGCATTTCTAAAGATAAAGTATTTTTTTGTTGAGGGGAGGTGGTGGCACATGCCTTTAATCCTAGAACTTGGGAGGCAGAGGCAGGAGGATCTCCGTGAGTTTGAGGCCAGCCTGATCTATGGAATCAGTTCCAGGACAAGCTCCAAAGCTATAGAGAAATCCTGTCTCGAAACAAACAAACAAACAAACAAACAAACAAACCCTGAAAAACAAAAACAAACAAAAAGAAAAAAAAAAAAAAAAAAAAAAAAAAAAGGCCCTGAGTGGATGAACCACAGGGATGTGTCTGAGAGTAGCGTACATTGTAAGGCTTGTCCAGCATGCACGAGACCTTGGGGTTTGATCCCTTCACCTCATAAACCAGGTATTGTGACACATGCTACTAATCTCAGAGTTCAGAGGCAAATCAGGAGTATCAAGGTCATCTGCAGCTAGATACAGAATTTGAGGCTAGCCTGGGCTACATGAGATCCTGTCTCAGAAAACAAAACAACAAAACGAAACTCAAAATCCAGGATGTGTGTGTGAAAGTGTGCAGGTGCCATTGGAGGTCTTAAGAGGGCCTTGGGTCCCCAGAGGAGGTGTCATAGGAGGTTGTAAGCTGCCAGATGTGGGTGGTGGGAACTTCAGTCCTTTGGGAGAGCAGCCAGCACCCTTAACTGCCAAGCCATCTTTCCAGCTTCCAATGGAACAGTTTAAATCAAACTTGGGGAAGCTTTAAAAAACAGAATGATTTAATGACTCTTTGTGCCATCACTTAACATCAACAAATCTCAACTCACAGCCAATTTTGTAAATACCACATATTATTTTGAAGCAAATCAAGAATATATTATCTCATGTGTGCATATTTTAGTATAAATCTCCAAATGTAGGACTCACTTAAATGGCATAGTTCTCATATCATTATCTCATTGGGAAAAACAATCCTTTGATACCACTAAATATCCAGAAGGCGCTCAAATTTCCAGGTGTTTCATAAATGACTATGCTTTTAAAAAAACAAAACAACCCCCCAAACTTGTATGCTTAAACAACAACCCAACAAGGGTTGTACACATTGCTCTTTGTTGATGCCCATTTTAAACCTTTTCAAACCCCAATACCTCTTGCAGTTTATTTTGTTGAACTTGTTTAAGATACTAGGTGATTTGTCCTATGATACTGTCATACTTTGGATTTTGATGAGGACACAAAATAAGTTTACTGATTAAAACAGGGCCCCACATAGCCCAGGCTGGCCTGGAATTTGTAGTTAAGAATGGCCTTGAAATTCTGATCCTTGTCTGGCAGTGTTGGTATATACCTTTAATCCCAGCACTCAGGAAACAGATGCAGGTCAGCCTGGTCTACAGAGTGAGTTCTAGGACAGCCAGGTTTGTTACATAGAGAAATTCCTGTCTCAAAAAACAAAACAAAAAAATTTCTAATCTCTTGTTAAAATAATAATGATGATAGCTATTGTTATATGATGTGTGTGAGTGCAGACACATACACACAATAACACGTATGTGGAGATCAAAAGACAACATTTAGGACAATGGTTCTCAACATGTGGGTCATGACCTCCTTGGGACCCGAATGACCCTTTCACATGGGGATCAAATATCAGATACCCTGAGTATAAAATATTTACATTCAAATCATAACAGTAGCAAAATTACAGTTATGAAGTAGCAACAAAATAATTTTATGGTTGGGGGTCACTACAACACAAGGAACTGTATTAAAAGGTCACAGCATTAGGAAGGCAGAGAACCAGTGTTTTAGGAGGTGGGTCTTTCCTTCTATCTGGGGACCTAAGAGCCATTCAGGCTGTCCAGGCTCACACTTGTCACAGGTAGGTACCTCTACCTGTGAGCCATCTCACCAGCACATTGACACCAAGCTTTAGTGTCCCATTCCCCTTGTCTTAAGGGATATACTTGAGTTTATGTCATATTTATGCTACACACATGCTGCCATGTTTGTGTGTCAGCCAACATTCACCAAGCACGTTAATGTGTACCATCGTGCTAAGCATTTTATGTGAATCACTTCAATCATTTCAACGTACTAGTCTGGTACTCTTAAGTTGCCCATTTGCACATAAGGAAACTGAGGTATGAGGAGCTTCAGTGCTGAGTCTAATGTGCCTAATGTCACACGAATAGTAAGTGGCTGCAAAGGGAGGGCACGGATGGGTGCAGCTCAGCGGTAAGTTTGCTTGCCCAGCAGGAATGAAACACTTAATAAATTAGGCCTGGTGCATATTGCTGCAATCCCAACACTCAGGAGGTGGAGACCGGGATGGGGGGTCGGATCAAAAGTTCAAAGTCCTTCCTTCTACACAGCAAATTCAAGGTCAGGCTGGAGATACATAAGGACCCATCTCATAACAGTTAGGAAATAAATAGACATAAATCTTTATTAACCTTTTGCTTTTACATTGCTTGTTTTCTGAGATTAACTCTTGATTCATAGTCCCGACTAATTTTAACCTATCGCCTTGCCTCAAGTTCCCAAGTGTTAGGATTACAGAAATGCTATGAACCACTAAATCCCAACCAAAATAACTTCATTGTTTTGTGTTTTCCAGACAAGGTTTTGTGTAGCCCAGGGTGGTCTTGAACTCATTGTGTAAGTAGCTCAGGCTGGCCTTGCATTCTATATCTTTTTGTTTCCACTTCGTTAGGGCTAGAACTATAGCTATACCTATACTTACATATTTTCTTTCGTTTGTAATTTTGTTTTTGTTTTTTGAGACGGGGTCTCACTGTGTATCCCTGGCTGGCCTGGAACCATTCTGTGGATCAGGGCTGTGAACTAATAGAGATCCTTCTGCCTCTGTCTCTTGAGCCCTGGAATTTTTCTTTCTTCCTTTCCTTTTTCTGAGAAAGAGGCTCACTATATGGCCTGGCTGACCTGAAATCTCTCTGTAACCCAAACTGACCTTGAACTTCTGGAAATGCTCCTGCTTCTGCCTCTCAAATGCTGTGAATGTATGTGCCACTATATTTGGCTTTCCTGATCAAAATAGCTTTCAACTCTGATTCAGTATTTGAGGAGGATCAGAGCTCTGTTCCCACAGAGTCAGGCGGGACCAGCTTCAGCAGAACACAGAGTCCGAGGAAATTGCTACTCACTGTGCGAATCCCACAACCTGTGGGTAAAGGAAATTATGGCTGGGAATACATTTTGCAGAATGCAAATCACTCTGCATGGTGTTCAGTTTTAATCCATCCCCTGCCTGTGTGCTAGATTGGCTTCTGAGACTCTTGACCTGCTAATTCATTCATCTGAGAAAAAGATAAATGACTACTGCGTTATTCACATTTATTCCTGTATTTATTAATGAGATGTCTTCATTCCCCTAACATTTTTGTTCACTCACTTAAATGTGTGTCATTATCCCCGCCTTGCCCATTCTTCAAAGGAGAAACCCTAGCACATAGGAGCTGGCATTAAAGTGTGAATTTTGTTCCATTTGGGAAGTCAGATAGAGTTGCTAGTGAGTTTCCCCAAAGTATGAGACACAGCATCTATTAGTGGTTCTTGGGTCCATGAATAAGAAGGCTAGCTATGCTAACAAAAGGATCCGAGTTTGAATCTACAACATCTAAGTAAAAAGCTGGATGTGGCTTTGCGTGCCTGTAACATTAGTGTGGTGTGTGTATGTGTGTGAATGTGTGTGTCACTGGCAGGAGGATCTCTGGGGCTTGTTGGCTGCCAGCCAAGCTCCAGAATCTGTGAGAGACCCTGTGTCAAACAAGACAGAGGATGGTAGAAGGGTGCCTGAAGACAATGCGCGCGTACACACACACTTCTAAGATGAGAATGGAATACCTTAATTTTTTTTTAGATTTGTTTATTTTATTTGTGTATTTTCCCTGCATACATGTAAACTTGTGTGTGAGTGTGTGAAACTCATAGAGGTTAGAAGAGGGTATCAAAGTCTCTGGACCTGGAGTTACTGATGGCCCTGCGCTGCCATGTGGGTGTTAGAAATGGAACCTATGTTCTTGGCAAGAACAAGTGCTCTTAATTGTTGAGCTGTCTCACTGGACTGTCAACAGAATGCCTCAACGTGTCTCTTCTCCCCTCAGTTAAATCCATCATCTAAATGTACAAAATGTACAAAACTCTGAAATCAAAAATTGTAAACCATGCTTACCAGCTGCCACTCCAAAGGTAAGGAAGAGAGACTGCACGCTGGCTGCATAGGCGCTCAACACCCAGCCGAGGGAGTTCACCAGTCCTCCAATGATTGCTGTCCGGCGGCACCCACAGGTGTTAATGAACAAGCCGATGAAAGGTCCTGCCACAGAGCAGTGGAGAAGACACTGACTAGAGGCTCCTTGCTGTCTTAGTGTACCCCACAAAAAGTTAAAGAATAAAACACCACAAGGGCTGCTTAAAGAAGACCAAACCAGGGCTAGCTAGATGGCTCAGCAGGAAAGGGGCTTGTGGCCAAAGCTGTCAACCTGAGTTCAAGCCCCCAAATCCACTTGGTAGAAAGAGAACGGACTTCCACACACACACCCCCAATAAACAAATCTAAATTTTAATAACATAGGCAAACCCCAAAGCATCTTATTTATGATGGGGTCTCTGCAGAAGACAGAGGCAGGCAGAAGTCTGAAAAGAGGTTAAGAGTGAAAAGTCCGTTTGGATTGTCCTTGTCAACCTGGGTCAAACTTCGGGAAGTCTGATGCCAGGCAGCTAACTGAAAGCATATTTAAACACAATAGAATTTGGAAAACGGTTTTCCAGGCTACAATCATTCCAATTCTAGGTGCACAATAAAGCTTAAGGGGTGCCTACATAGAATCTCCTTTACAAAATACGTGTGACCATGAAGGTGGGTTCCTCAGCTAAAAGACCCAGGAGCTGGTGTGGTCTCTGAGAAAGACAGCACAGAGGTCAGCAGGCCATAAAGTACATAAAGTACAGGATGGGTTCCATTGACTGGGAGCTAAAGGTCTAAAGGGGGAGAGTCTGGGATAATCAGTCTGGGGGTGTGGATGAGGTTTGCCTCTATGGATAGCAAAGGCCACCAGGTCATTAACAACACCCACTTCAGCTTTCTGGATAGAATGCAGGTATTTTACTGAGGAGAGGTAACACAGTGTTTATTGTCCACTGAGGAGACACCCCTGAGTGATGAATATCTGGTTTCCTTCAAGATCTATGGGCACAAGGACCTTTGTGGCCCCAACAATCCGAAAGTATACGAACCTTGCAGATGGACATAATCTCATCAGAGAACAAATGGTTCTAGACCAGAAACAGGCAGTCTCTCATTCTGCCTACAACAGAAACCACCAGCTAGTGTTCTAACAGCATCTGGCATGGCATGCACTTCTTCAGCCTTAACACATAGCTTGAAAATGTGTGGACTAAGCAAACACTTGAAAATGAGAGAAATCACACACACACACACACACACACACACACACACACACACACCAATGAGTAGTTTCCTACCTATCCCCAAATGACTGGGGCCATGTGTGATGGCTGGCCCTCTGGCTTGGGAGCAATTTCTACCCTTGCCTCTCATCTTCTTCCTGGTCTTCTTGATTCCTTATGCAGGTGAGGTTAAATTTCACTAAACATTTGTTTATGCACCGTGTGTGGTGTCTACGTGGGTGAACGTGCGATGGTTCTGGAGTGGGGGTTAGAGGAGAGCTTACGGGAGTCAATTCTCTCCTTCTACTACATGGGTCTGGGGATGGAACTCAGGTTGTTAGGCATGGTAGCAAGTACACACTGAACCATTTCATTGACTCACATCAGAGATTTTTACTCCAGTTTTTGTTTGTTTTGTTTTGGAGGGTTTCTCTGTGTAGCCCCAGCTGCCCTGGAACTCACTCTGTAGAGCAGCCCGGCCCCCAACTCAGAGATCCGACTGCCTCTGCTTCCTGAGTGCTGGGATTACAGGCATGCACCACCACCCAGCTTGACTCCAGTTCTAAAGGAAACACTGGAAAAGGGTTCTCCCCAAAGATGACCTACAGCTGATCATAGAGCACTCAACACAAACAGAACTTAAAAGAATTTGCTGTCTTCAATGCACGCAGGCCCTGCTTTCTCCCTTAGTTCTCCTCTGAGAGCATTAGGCTATAATGTTTTTGTTTTATGCAGCCTAAACTGGCCTCGAATTGCCTATATAACCAAGAATGACCTTGAACTTCTGATCCTTCTGCCTTCACCTCCCAAATGCTGGGACAGGAGGCATTTGCTACTGTGCGTGGTTTACTAGGTGCTGGGGGATGGACCTCAGGACTCCATGCGCTCTAGGTAGGTGAGCTACAGTGAACTGCACCCCCAGCCTCCCGGGATGTGCATTTTTGACACTGTAGAGACCCGGGATGGTTGTCATCACTTTATATAGTTACTGAGTGCTACACTTGAGTGGGGCTGTTTGACTTAAAAAAACTAATTTAGGGACAGAGAGGTGGTTCAGTGGGTAAAAACAGCTAGCCGTGCAAGCCTGATGCATTGAGTTCAATTCCTAGAAATTACAGTAGGGAGAGGGAAAGAGCAGATTTCTGAAAGGTGTCCTCTGACCTTTACTCATGGGCTGGGGTCACGTGTGTCCCCCCATACACACACACACACACACACACACACACACACACACACACACACACACACAGAGAGAGAGAGAGAGAGAGAGAGAGAGAGAGAGAGAGAGAGAGAGAGAGAATAATAAACAAGCTTTCAAGAATTTCCCTGCTTAGTTGGAACTAAAACAACATTTCCCTGTGAGATCTTTCTTGTATGGGAGGACTGGTTCCTCCCACATGCCGGGTGCATTAGTAACTTTTCTGCGCGGCTGGGACCGATCCTGATAAAAACAACTTACCGGGAGGTTTGTTTGGGCCTGGGTTAAAGGGGTTCCTTTATCAAGGGCAGAACAGTCCCTGGCCACATTGTGTCTTGTCATCAGGAAGCAGAGAAAGACTAACACTGCTGCTCAGCCAGCTTCCTCCAGACCCACAGTTAGGCAGGTCTCACCTCTGGAGTCAAATCAACGCAGACACTCGGCAGAGGTTTGTCGCCTAGCCAGTGTCTTGCCTGCATGTATGTATGTGCCCTATGTGCCAGCTGAGGTGTCAGATCCCCTGGAACTGGAGTTTTAGATTATGAGGTACTTGTGGGTGCTGGAAATTAAACCCAGGTCCTCTGCAAGAGCAGCCAGTGCTTTTAGCCACAGACATCACCCCAGCTTCATTATTTTGTTTTTAATTATGTGTGTGTCTGTATACTATGGATGGGTGCATGTGAGTGCAGGTGCCTGTGGAGGCCAGAGGTGTCAGTATTCCTGGAGCTGCAGCTGCCGCCTTAGATGGGAGATGGGAACTGAACCCAGCTCCTCTGCAAGATCAGCAAATGCCACATCTCCAGCTCCTTGTCTGGTGTCTTTGAAAAGCGCATGAAACATGAATGTAAAAACTTATTTAATAAGTTCCGACATCAATGACAACAATTGGGTTAACGTCTTAGACTTATTACATACTAAATATATTTTTACATAGCACATGCTATATATTAAATATGGATATTATATGGATAACATAAAATCAGCCCATTGTTTTGAACATCTGGATGAGTTGTTGGGAGTAACTGAATTGAGATAAGTTTGAAGATATTTCTTTACATACGTTAAAAAAATAAATTCAATTACAGGTCCTCTCGAAGAGCAGCCAGTACTCTTAACTACTGAGCCATCTTTCCAGCCCCACGTTTTAATTGTTATACATTCATATTCACTCAACCGTGCCACAGTTGGGTGACCAAGTGACCCATAATGGAACATGTGTGACTCCTAATTTTGCTGCTGACAGCTATTTGATATAAGAAAGAGCAACAGGCCACACAATACAACGTTTCCCACATAACAGGAAGGAATCAGATGCGAGCCTTCCCGATATACTTATGAAATATCCTAAGACATCTGAGAAACATAAAAAGAAAGGAAAGCCAGGGTGACTTTTTACAAGATTTTATAAGGCAGAGGGAAGGCATTAGCTGCTGTAGAGACAAGAACATGAAGTAGACGACAGCTGATGGCCTTCAGTTGGTAACTATGGCTTTCTAGTTAAGTGACTGCTGCTTGCTGAGGACTCCTTCAGTCATTTACCGTTTGTAATTGAGCAAAGTCAGACTGGAAATGCTGTAAATCCTCTGAAGTGAGGAAATACAAACATTAAAGGTGTGGGGCGGGAACACCACTCCAAACTTTCTGGCTTTGTTTTGTTTCTTATGAATTGTTCATGAATGGCCAGCAGGCATTGCCATGAGCTAACTGCCATTCCAGCAAAATGAAAACAACTGATTTCCACAAGTCACGCGCACACACATATGCCCAACAATAGAGAACACTTGCTCCGAACTCTTGGGACAAAAGAACAATAAAACCCAGATCCAATGATTTCATTATGACTCTTGCTTGGAAATAGGTAGTTGTGAGCCACCACAAAGGTGCTGGGAACTGATAGAGCAGGCGTCCTAACCTCTGAGCCATCTCTCCACACCCCTGCTTTAGTCTGAAGACCAATGAAGAACTGAAGGTGTCAATAATGTCATAGACATTTGTCAAATTTTTTCTTTGTTCATGTTTTTCAAGATAGGGTTTCTCTGTTTAACAGTCATGACTATCCTTGAACTTGCTTTATAGACCAACCTGACCTTGAACTCATCTGCCTTGAACATCTGCATGCCTTTGCCTCCCTACTGCTGGGATTAAAGGCATGTGCCATCATTGCCAGGCTATCAACAATCATTTCACATATATATTTTTGTCCTTGGGTCTCATGCATGCAGGCTGTTCTGGAACCCACTATGCAGCTGAGGCTGGCTTTGAACTCATCCTCCTCTGTGGTGGTTTGAACGGGACATTTTCCCGTTAGGCTCATGAATTTGTACACTTCATCCCTTGTTGGTGGTGCTGTCTGGGAAGTTATGGAACCTTCAGGAGGCAGAGCCTGATGGGAAAGCACGTCACTGGGGGCGGGGCTTTGAGGGTTTATAGCCTCAGCCCTCTTCCAGTTTGCTTTCCCTGCTTCTGGCATGCACACAGAAACATGCTCTCTCAGCTTCCTATTCAGGGCCCCCTTACCCACTGTGTCCTGCCACCCCTCCCCACCTTGATGGGCTCGTAACCCTTTGGAGCCGTAAGCCAAAATCAACATTTTCTTCTATGAGTTTTATTACAATAATGGGAAAGTTGCCGACCTTGGTTAATCTTTTATCTTTTAAAACTATTCATGGAGGGGCAGCAGATGCAGTCAGTGGTAGACTGCTTGTTTAGCAAGTGTGAGGCCCTGGACCTGAATCCCAACAGTGCCCCCGCAAAACATTCACAGACGTTAAATAAACTGGGTAAGGTGGCCCATGCCTGTAATCCCAGCATCTGGAAAGTGAACAAGGGTAGCTGAAGTTCAGGTCCTCCATGGCTATGTACTGAGTTTAAGGCCAGCCTTAAGGTTATGTGAAATTCTGTCTCAAAAAAACTGAAATGTTGCAAACTCTAAGGAACCACTGAGCTAAGGCCAATTCCAACAAAAGTATTAAATAAGCACAAGTGATGAACATGAGTCGTCAGTTGCAAAATCAGTGTTGAGGTCAGTGAGATGGCTCAGCTGGTGACGGCACTGGCTGGCTAGTCTGGAAACCTGAGCTTCATTCCCAGGATTGAGATGGTGGAAGGAGAGAATCAACTTCTGCAAGTTGTCCTCTGATCTACACAAGAGCCATGGATAGACAGACAGACAGACAGACAGACACACACACACACACACACACACACACACACACACACACACACACGAGAGAGAGAGAGAGAGAGAGACAGAGAGAGAAGGATGATAAATTTTGTGTTTTGAATATTCTATTTTACTTCGACTTTAAAAGCTGGTGATGTCACTGGTATCTGATCCCTAATGCTTCAGGAATGTGATGACTTACTCTCAACAGGGTCTTGTCATTTCATCCCCCTCTTAGAACAGGTGGCAGTGAACATACCCACGATCAAGGTGATGCCCATGCTCAGAGAGCTGACCCAGGCGGTCAGGCCTCGGCTCTGGTGGAACTCTTCAAGCCATTCCACGTTGAGGACTCCCAAGGCCATCTGTGAGCCCATGATGAGGATGTGAACAAAAAAGGAAGAAAGGACCATCATCCAGGCCCACCCGCCATCAATGTCTGGGTGGGGCTTCAGGGTCTTCTTAGCCTTGGGATCATCTTCAAGGTCATACCCGATATCTTCATGACTTGTATACATTTTCTAAGGTTTTCTGAAACACACACAGTAAATAATTTCATCACACATGGAAACAAAAAACACCTTCCTCATTTTCGGACAGCTCTGCCTCCCACTGCGATCAAAGTGGCTTCGAGGTCAAATGATGCTCAGGTTAGTCTTTGTCACTGGTGGGTCTGGGTTTACAGATCACTTTAAAGTCTGTCTTTATAGTCATCTCACAGATATTATAAAGTTAAAGAAGGGAGAAGGGAAGGTAGGGGGAGAGATGGAGGGGAGAAAAAAAAGAGAGAACAAGCCCCCTGGATGTGATGGGTAAGACAGACTAGCCCTGATAACATCTCTTCTCTGAACCCGTCAGTAAGTAGTGGGGATAGCAAGTTGAGTCCTACCTACAGTTTAATGTCTTTGGTGAACCAGGGAGTTAGCTCACTGCCTGAGAATGGGGAGTTTGGAGACTTGTAAAGGGGACTAAATGTTCAGGGTAACAGAAGCAACTGTTGCCTACAAGTGGAAATGACTGTTGGGTAGTTAAAGTTAAGTGGCTCCCACTGCTGCAGAGTAGAAGCCAGGAAGCATCAAACAGCAAGCAGGTGGCCAGCTGCCCCAGTGCCTGTACAGGTGGAGCATGGTATACGGACAGGTTGAACAAGGACACAGAGAACTTAAAGTAACACCACATGAATACAGGCTGGTCTGATTTATTTGACTGTCATTGAGTGCCAGCAATTCTAGACAAAGACTCAATAAAAAAATCTTCTGGTCTCCATTCCAAACAACTCTGTGCATTTTCACATTATAGACATGAATGCTTCAAATCTGGCTGTTTTTATGTGTGCCTGCATGCATGTGTATCCAGTTGTATATGTGTGCAGGTGTTGGTGCATTGTGTGTGTATGGAGGTCAGAGGTTAACCTCAGGTATTGCTCCTTAGACCTCTCACTGGCCTTAGAGCTCACAAATTCAGTTGTGCTATCTGACCAGTGAGCACCAGAGGCTACCTGTGTCTCCAACATCCTAAGAGCTGGGATCACAAATCTGTGCTGTCATGTTTGGCTGTTGTGGGTGAGTGGGCGTGTGGACTGTGTATGGTACACATATGTGGGTGTTTGTGCATTCGGAGGTCACAGCAGGCCACTGGATAGCTTCCTCTATTCTCTGCCTTATTGCTTGGAGACAGTCTCTCACTGAGTCAGAGGACTCTTGCCAGTGAGCCAATGTTGGGGTTACAGGCACAGGTAGCCATGCCTGGCCTTTTGATTTTTCCCTTGAGGAAGGGTTTCTCTGTGTAGCCTTGGCTGTCCTGCAACTCACTATGAAGACCAGGCTGGCTTGAATTCACAGAGATCCACCTGCCTCTGCCTCTTGAGTGCTGGGATTAAAGGCGTGCGCCATCCCTGCTCCACTCATACCTGACTTTTTTACAAGTAATTGAATTCAGATCCTAGCCCTGTAGGACAAGGACTTTACTGAGGAAACCATGCCCCAGCCCCTTATACTTATCTTTACTGCAAACTTACATGGCAGCCAATTCAGAGAACTCCTAGTTTGACCTTGCAAGTGGCCCCAACTCCCATGTTACTAGGAGATTAAGTAAGCTCTAAGAGGCTGAGTTGTGGGAGCCTGCTTCAGAATGATCTGGGCTACAGCCCATGGTGTCGAGGTAAACAGAGCAGCACGGTTGTTGTTAACTGCACATCATTTGTCACCCTGCATGTCTGCCTGGAGATGTCGGCGCGGTGTCGCACCCTTTTAATCCCAGGACTTGGGAGGCAGAGGCAGATGGATCTCTGAGAGTTTGAGGCCAGCCTGGTCTACACAGTGAGTCCCAGGACAGCCAGGGCCACACAGCAAGACCCTGTCTCTAAAAAACAAAACAAGAGATAGTGAAAAGGAGAGCAAGGCTGTGAGGTGAAAGGCTGCTCTGGAGAGTGGCATTTTCAGTTGACAGATACAACTGTTCACTCACTTTGACTGTTTCCTTTGAAATTGAAATCAGCTTTGATTTATGTCAGAACAGAAGGGATGTGGCTAAGGAGTAGTGCACTGACCCAGAGTGAGTGAAATCCTGGGTTTGCCCTTCAGCATCATAACAACCAAATATAAGACAGAAAACCAGGGGCTGGACAGATGGCTTGGTGGGTAAGAAGAGGACTGGCTGTTCTCCCATGAGGCCCTAGGTTCAGTTCCCAGGACCACATCATGAGGTTCATAACTGCCATAACTCCAGCTCCAGGGCATCCAAAGCCATCCCCTGACCTCTGCAGGTACTGCAGACATGGTACATAGACATTCAGACACAGGGGGTGTCTGCATAATACATGCATAATACATCTTTTTTTTTATTTTAATAAAAGCATCTAAAAACATAACAAGTAAAAAAGTGGAGCTCAATCAAGGAAGACACTTAGCATTGGTTTTTGATTTCCATGACCAAATGTACACATACCTATACATATGTGTTAACACACAGACATGTACACACATAAAATGAAACAATAGTTTTCCAACCTACAGAAGAGTATTTTTTTTCCCTGTGGAAATGTTAAGAACTTTATATTCTTACTGAATTATTTATTTATTTTGTGAGTTAAAAAAATGATTGTTATGGAACGGCTCTGGGCATTTCCAGTTTATTTAATCATAAGTGCACGTCAGTGATTAGCATGTAATGGACAATTTTATGCAAGGAGTCCAAGTGTAAATTCAGAAGGTGGCATTGCATGCAGACAACCCAGAACACAGTTGGATTAAATGGCTTACGGAGACCTCAGGGGCCCCATCTGACCTCCCTGAAGGAAGGTATTAAGAGGTATGGTAGAACATGACTGTAATTACAGAAAACAGTAGGCTGAAACAGGAGGCTGGCAGGGAATTCTAGACCAGCCTGGGATACACAGTATCCCAGTATTTGTCTTGTAAAAAAACAAAAACAGGGGAAACAAAACAGTATTATGGTGCATGCCTCTAACCCTAGCACCTATGAGGTAGAGGCACAAGGATCAGGAGTTCAAGGCCAGCCTCCGCTATATAACAACCTAGGCCTCAAGAGAAACAAACACAAGAGAAACAACAACAAAACCCAAAACCAAACAAAAAGGGAAACAAGTATTTGCATTTTATACTTAATATCTTTCTAAAAGCAACCATTCCTTGCCTTCACATTTCAGTGACCAGCTAGGTCCCTAAAATGAAAGTGTACAGAAGAACAAGTATTTATGCTGATCTGATCTGTTTCCTCCCAAGCTCACATTGAAACCTAACTGCCACTGCACCCATAGTAACGGGTGGGCCCCTTAGAAGGTCTGTGTTACAAGGGACCCATCTTCAGGAATGGATTAAGGCACTATCCTTAGAGAGGGCTAGCTGTCTTAGGAATGGGTTCCTGATAAAAATGGGATGGGTGTGGCTTGATATTTAGGCTGATGTCCTTCTCTGGTCTGGTTGTTCCCCAGACCCCAGGCTACATGCACACAGTGCACACACATACACGTGACATATAAAGTACATTCTTTAAAAAGGAGTTTGGAGAGATGGCTCAGTAGTTCCAAGCCTTTGTCCCTTTTGCAGAGGACTGGTGTTTACTTCCCAGCACCCACATAGGGTGGCTCACAACTGACCTGATGACGTTTTCTGGCCTCAGAGGAATGTGTTGTACACAGACAATTAGACACATACATACACACATTTTAAAAGATAAGTTATTTGTATTTTATGTGCACTGGTGTTATGCCTGCATGTATATCTGTGTGCTTCCAATGGGTCAGGGCTGTGCTCGGTGGCTTTTGCCACGATGATCTTGGCCGGTTGGTATTGAGGTCCCAAACGACCCTGTTTTACCAACAAGTCAACTGAAACATCTGTTTGTGTGTTTGACAGGGTCTCACTTAGCCCAGGCTAGCCTCAGGTTGGAGGATGACCTTGAACTTCTCATACCTCTGCAGGATGAGTGCCGTATTACAGTGTTGGATTTAGGCAGTGCTGGGGGAATTGAACCCAGGGCCTCAAGGATGCAAGCAGACACCCTACCAACAGAGGTACATCCCCAGCCCTAAAAGTGAGCCAGTCGTTTAATGGGTGCTCTGTGAAGTCCAAATATGAACAAACCTATAGTCAGTCTCAACCTCTTATCCGCACCATTCTCCCTTTCTCCCGTCCCCTCATCCCCTCTCTCCTTTGACCAGGTGGAGAATCTTTCTAATCCCTAATAAGCACCCCCAGCCACCCTTGCTAATGAGCCTGAGCTTGAACCAACTTTTCCACAGGAAAAAGGGGCTTAATTGATAAGAAGAGATGAGCTCATAAAACCTCGTCAGGTTTGCCTCTGCCCTTTAATGGCTGTGCTGGGTCTTCGTTGTCCCATTTCATCTCTGGAGATGCTGGATCTGAGTGGCTCCCGGGGGCTCAGCATCCGCCGCCCTGCCCTGGTCCATCTGCGCGTGATGCTGCACCCTCCGAACCTCCATACCCCACCAAGGAACCCCGACACAAAGACTCCCGCGCCCCCCCGGAGGTAGCTAGCTGTAGCCCCATCACTATCTACCTGGAGTGGTAAACTGGGGCCTCGAGAGCCTGGGAGCGCGAGGCCGGGCGCAGAGGCGACGCGCGTTCTAGCGCCAGGGAGGCGCGCGGCGCCCTGGACCGTGCGCACCCCCGCCTGCAGCTCGGGGGACAAGAGAGTACCGCTGCCTTGCCCAGGCCCCTCTTTTCTCTCACCCTGTCCCGGGTTCTCGCCCCGTGAAGGTCCCTGAAGGAGCCGTGGTCACCAGTACCGACCGGTATCTACCAGTATATGCCGGCTCGGAGATGCTCCAACCCTGAAGTCCCTGGCCTCAGCACAGCCCCAGGGTACTCACCGCACGCAGCCGGCAGGGCTACGGTCTCACTCGGCTCCTGGTCTCAATCCGTGAACTAGAAGGTCCGCTCCAAGAATCCGGAGCCGTTGGGCGTGGGGATTGGTAGCAATATCGACCAGCATCCTGCAGATGCGGCGCCTGGGGCTCGGCGCTACGCCCGCTCCGTGCGCTCGCTCGGCGCGGGGTTCCCGGACTCGACCTCCGCTAGCTGTAGGGCCAGGTGAACCTTCTGGAGCCTAAGGCTCGATGCTTCCGTCCCGGAGCCTTTAAGAAGGGTTCGTTTGCAAGGATCCGAGCCTACCCAAGCTTCCTTCCAATCCGTGCAATTTCAGGTCTCCACGCTGGTTCATTCCTATACCGGCTAATTCTGGTTTGGCAGGGAAAAAAAAAAAAAAAAAAAAAAAAAAAAAGGAATCAGCGGGCTCCTCACAGGCACACTCTTGTGGCCGGTTGAAGTTTATCGCTTGGCTAAGATTCGTCAATGCTGTGCACGTTTGCAACCTTAGGAAATGGTCAGAAATCTCAGGGGTGTTGGGAAAATCAGAAGTATACTCCCCCGCTTTTTTTTTCCTCCTTGGATTAGGAGGAAAGTAACAAACCAGACCTTCATATGAGTCTCGGCCAAAAAAAGAGCAGTTTGTAGAGCGCAGAAAAGGAATTTCAATACTCATGGCCACAGTGGACTGAAAATCCCTCATCTTTGTTCCAGCCTGGGTACCTCCTCTTTCCATTTTTCCGAAGTACCTGTTATCTGCACTTATAGGCTGGCAACATAATGCTTTGCTCTCAGAGAGTTTTTAGTGTTTTGTTAAATAAATGAAGCAGGAGCTTTTTAACCTAATCTGACGGCATCTGTATTTCCCGATATAAATTACCACAAACATAGCGCCTGAAAGCAACACAAATATATTATGTTACATATCTATCAGTCAAAACCTGAAATGGGCCTTACTGGACTAAAATTCAGAGCCTTGGCACTCTGAAGGCTGTGTTCTTCCTGGCAGCTCTAGCTGAGCCACCAGCTTCTCCCGGCTGCCCACATGCCTTGGCTGGCAGCCACTTCCTCATCCTCAGAACCATCTACATTGCATCATTCTGTCTGTTTTGGGTCCCTTTCTCTCCATTGTTTGCTCCTCTCTCTCCCTTTTTCATTTGGATTCTTTTAAACATGCAAAATTTATTTACCGGGTATGTATGTGCTTGTATGCAGCAGTATGTGTGTGGAGGCCAAAGAACAGCCTTCGTTCTGGAGGCAACACTCCCCCACCCCCCTGTCGGTCGGTTCTGGGGATTAGGTAGGTTTGGTAGCAGAGATCCTTTACTGCTGAGCATTGTCTCCAGCCCCTTCTCTCCTACTTGGGGTTATCTCGATCCTGCCTGGATAATTCACACATCTATTTTAAGGCCAGCTGACTAGCAATACACTTCCATCTGCTACCTTGATCCCCCTTCTGCCATTTAAGGTCACACACATAGTCACAAATATAGGGATTTGGAGACAGATTTCTTTGGGGGAACCAATTCTGCTGCCCACCATGAATTTCCTTTCTTCCCTCCTTTCTTTTCCAAAAGATGTTCGTGTGTGTTTTATATTGTTGTTGTCTTTATTTATTTACTTTAAACTTTTGAGAGATAGCAGTTCATGTGCCCCAGGCTAGCCTGTATCTAGTAGTTATGTAGCTGAGGATGGCTTTGAACTTCAGATCTTCCTGCCTCCCAAGTTTTGGGATTAGAGGCACAGATCATCACAGTCAGTTTCCACAGTGCTGGGGCTGGAACCCAGGACTTGGTGCATGCTAGGCAAGCGCCCTCCTGCTTGAGCTCCATTCCCAGCCTTCGTAGATTCATCTTAATAACTGAGATGAATGTGAGGGATGACTAAATGAGGACATTTGCAGGAACACCTCTCTGACGATGATAGGACAAAAGGATGGTGAGTACTTCCCCCGGGCTGTTCTCAGATGTCATGCATTCCAAAAGGGCTTTTGACAGCAAGTCAAGAGCAGGAAACCAGTGGTGGAGGTGACCCTTACAATCCTAGCACTTGGGTGGGAAGTTCAAGCCTAGTCTGGGCTACAAAAGAGCTTTTTTTTTTTTTTTTTAAATGACAAGAGTTCCAAACAAGTATCTCAAGTACAGATGATCCATCTGTTTTTTAAAAGAGGTGTTATGGATTGAATTGAGTGTGAGACATCCCCCACAGGCTCATGATTTAGAACACTGGTCCCCAGCCATTGGTGTTGTTTGGGGAGGTTACAGAAAGCTTGGGACATGCGGTCATGGCTGGAAGAAGTGAGTGGCTGTGGGCAGACTTTGAAGATCCTATCTGCTTCTGATGCTAGCTCGACCTTTCTACTTTCTGATCCTTAAGGAGCAAGGAGACAGTGACTCATGCTGCCATGGGTGTGCAGCCTCTCCACTCACACACCTTCTTTGCCACTGAGGATTTAGCTGTGAAGCCTTGAGCTAAAGAAACCCCCATCCCTGCCTTAAGTTGTTTCTGTCAGCATTTTGTCATAGTGAAGAGAAAACTAATACAAGAGGTCCATAAGATCAAGATTTCTCCTGACCTCCTGGGTCTGGAATCTTGCATTTGTAGGAGTCTGATTTATCACAAATCTGGGGGAACCATCACCTCAGTCAAATAACTCCCAAACCCTCTCTGTGCCTCATCCTAACAGACATCTCCAGACGGTCTCTCACCTACCCAATAAATCTATGTTTAATATAAATAATTGCAATACAAGCCTGACATGGTGTCCCATGCTTATAATCCTAGCACTCAGGAGGCAAAGGCAAGAGGTATTCATGAATTGGAGGCCACCTTATATACATAGTGAATTCCAGGATAACCAGAGCGACATAGTGATATCCTGTCTGAAAGAAAGTAAAAAAAGAAAAGAAAAAAAGAAAAAAAATTATAAAATAAAACAAAGGCATCCAGACTGGGAAGGGAAATGTAAAATTATCTCTAATTTCAGGTGATATAATTATATTTAGAAAATGATGGAAATTTTGCCAGGCCTTGGTGGTGCACACCTTGAATCCCACACCCAGGAGGCAGAGGCAGGCAGATCTCTGTGCGTTCGAGGCCAGCCTGGTCTGCAGAGAAAGTTCCAGGACAGGCTCCAAAGCAATACAGAGAAATCCTGTCTTGAAAAACAAGACAAAAGAAAAAGAAAAAGAAAGAAAATGATGGAAATCCATGAAAACATTAGGACTAGTCAATGGGCTCAATGAGGTGTCAGTGCAGTTTCATTGACAATAGTATCAAAAAGAACTTTCAAGGTTGGGAACCAAGTTCAGTGAAGTACTGTACTCTGAACCTCTGTACAAGAGGTTATTGAAAGAAACAGAAAAAAAAAATGGAATGGATGTGGAGCTGGAGAGATGGCTCAGTGGTTAAGAGCACTTGCTGTTATTCCAGAGGATCTGGGTTTGATTCCCAGCACCCAAATGGCAGCTCACAACTGTCTATAATTCTAGTTTTAGGGGATCTTGCATATTCACATATGTTCAGGCAAAACACTAAATGCACATAAAAATAAATGTTTAAAAAATTGAATGAATGTATACATCTCTGGGCACCAGCAGCCTCCAGTCCCAGGATGTTTCTGTAAGTCTGACTTGTCCAGTTGGGTCTTCTGCAAGAGAAGATCACATACATATTGTGCAGGAAGAGTGCCAGTATTAGGAAACTCTTAACACTTTGTGATCAGCTGTGATGTAACCAAGGCCCTGTCCCGTCCCTGTTGAGGCAGTTGAGCATGCATGGCAGAAACCAGGAGTGCATGGAGCTTAGATGTCTAAGTCAACTGGACCTGAGCAGAAAGCAAACTCTTCCATTGTGCATCTATATGACTTGGCTATTGGCCCCAAAGTGTAGATACTCACAATGCTTACATTATAGAGTTTGTTGGAAACCAGCAGTCTGCTGATCCCGCCCCCTGACGATGGCAGGACACACATGACCATGTCATCACTATGTTACTCATTATGGGGCTGCCTGCATAGGGGATTCAGTTTCCCTTTTAAAGCAAGCTCGGCCCCCTCTTTCTCTCTCTTCCTCTCTTCCTCTTCTTTGCTTTCTCTCTTCCTCTTCCTTTCTTCCTCTCTCTCTTGCTTTCTCTTTTGCTCTCTCTCTCTCTTTCTCTCTCCTGCTTTCAGTTGGACACCAGCTACCCCCTTCTTCTCTCCCCCTCTCTCTCCTCTTCTGTTCCCTCCTCCCTCGCTCCCCTTTTCTATATAAACTCCTCATTCAAGCTCTACCTTCCCTCCGCTTCGCCACCTTGGTCACCCTCACCTGCTATGGAACCTGCTCTGCCCTCCCATATGGTCCCTTACCTTGGGATCCCACTCACTTGGAACCCTTACTTGGGACCACCCCCCTCCAGCTTTTATTCTTATAACTGAACTAAAGAACAACAGAGTTAGTGCAAAGGTTAAATGATACAGTGTGTCAAACATTCTGTCTCCATATTGCTAAGGAATATGTTTTTGTTTCTTTAATTTTTTTTTTTTATTTTAAATCAGGCAGTGCATGCCTTTAATCCCAACACTCGGGAGGCAGAGGCAGAGGCAGGTGGATCTCTGTGAGTTCAAGGCCAGTTTGGTCTATAAAGCAAGTTCCAGGACAGGGTCCAAAGCTACACAGAGAAACCCTACCTCAAAAACAAACAAAAAAACAAAGAATCCCAAAACATTTAAAAACTTTAAAGTGTGTGTGTGTCTTTGTGTGTGTGTGGTGGTATGTACACACACACACACACACACACACACACACACACACACACCAATTCATATGGGAGCAAGTGACCACAGAGAAAAGAGGAGCCAGATCCTCTGGAGCTGCAGTTAGAAGCCGTTGTAAGCAGCTTGTGGTGGATGTGAGGAACCCAACTAGGGTTCTCTGTAGTAGGTGTAGTACTTAAACACTGGGCTATCTCTCCAGCCCCTGGGTTTTTTTTGTTTTTCTGTTTTGTTTTGTTTTCTAAAGTAAGAATGGCCTACATACTCCATGGATAAAATTGTTCAATACTGGTGTACCCCCTGGCCCCCTTGAATCAGATCTGGCTATGTAGTGCAATCTAATCTGAAACGCACGGTCATCCTGCCTCAGTCTTCTGAGTTCCAGAATTCCAGGCACTCACCACCATGCTTAATCACATTCCTTTGGTACCATAGTCCTTTGGAG